AACAATATATTTAATATGAGTAGAAGATATAAGGTAACACTCAGAGGGACCACGCCTGCATGGCCGAGCCATGCCATCCGATCAACTCAGTCCATTCAATTCATTTTCCGCGCCTACTCCATTGTTAGGTATTTCTCCGCGTTAAATATTGAATATCTATTTTCTGAATAGTCTGGTGTTCACAGATTTGTGGATTGTGTGGCTATGGTCTAATGCCACTACGTATTCATTTGTACTGTTCTTCTTATAGCTAAGGAAAACCAAGTGCTGGAAGTGGACAGGGTTCCAAATGGCCTGGGAACTATGCTTACGAGAGAGGATCCACAGTAATTAATAATGCTGTACCATACGACAATCCAACTATTTGTCCTAATAGAGAAGATATCGTTGACTGCTTCGCAGATGAGAAGCGAAAAATGGATCGACCAATCGCGTCATCAGATCTATCAATGATGAGCACAAACCCATACAGAGGTCAATATGGTCCTCACCAGATCACAATATAATGAATCAGATCGATCATATTTGCGCCAGTAAATAATCCATTAAGTCAATGGAAGACATTTGAACCAGGAAAGAACTTGATATAGCTTCAACTTACCACCTGGTGGTCGTAAGATCCATTTTGAATGCTTTGTATGTGAAAATTCCTCCATGTATACACTTGCAGTTTGTTCCTATTGACTCATTTAGTTGTACATTTTCTTAGTCATTTTGATTCCATTTGAGTTGGTAATATTTGTATTTTATTATAATTTTTATTTTTCTTACGCCTTCACCAGGTTTCCATGTTTCTTCCTGAACTGCATTTATGTTGTTTTACTTGACACTTAGTCTTGGCGGCAGCCATATTGGTTTGTTCCTCCTTTTGATTGTTAATTGAGGCACTCTTCCAGAACTGGAGACACTCTGTGTAATAAAGCAACCAAATATTATCTTTTGAACGAATTTGTGAGTGGTCTATCCAGACAGAATAGAATAGCATTTATTTGTTTCGACTGACTTGATTAATTAAACGATTATTGGTTGAGTAGCTGGGTGGTCATATTTGTTTGGGTAACAACGTACATTTGAATTTATGATGAATTTTAGAACCATCATTTTACCCAATTACTTTGTTTTGTTTTCAACCGGGCAAGGGCGCGTATCTAACCCACCTAGACAGCTATTCTTCAGTCCAAACCTTAGTTTGGATCTTACAGTGGTTACCAGGATTAAAATGAAGCTAAGAAAACACTGGACAAATGGAAGAACAGCTTGTTAATTACGTGATCGGAACTAGGTGTACAGATTTACTCTACCAAGCCAGATGTAATCGCAGTCACAGAATCTTGGTGGACACAGCCAATAGATAGTACAATACTTTATTTTGAAGGTTTCAAACTAGTAAGAGCCGACAGAATCCAAAAGCATAAAGGTAGGGTTGGCTCCGTTGATTAGAAATACTATCACACTTGCTATTATTGATAGTGTATCCCACAAGAGTGGGACGCGTGAATTAGTTAGTTGCCGCTGGAAATGTAAGGGACAAGAGTTGCTGATTAGTTTGGTCTACTGCGTTCCAAGTTGTGATGTAAATGAGGTCTTGAAAGATGATTTCAACACTTGGTCTCAAAGTGGTGAGCGTCTAATCCTAGGAGACTTCAATTGATTCACGGCATACTGGAGAAACCTGGATTGTCGGAAAACTATTTCGAGCAGGAACTAGTTAATTAGCTTATCACATGCGCCTTATTGCAACATGTGAAATAAGCCACTAGATAGGACTCGGACTCTGAATCATTCTTACCAGATCTTATATTGACCCGTTAGGAGGGTAACATCACGAAACTCGATTACATGCCACCCCTAGGTAAGAGTGATCTTGCAGTTCCAATCTTTGACTTTCATATAGTTGTCAAAAATGAGCCCAACCCAGACTTAAATCATGGAAAGCAAATGTAGAAGATATTATACACTCAGCATCGTCAATAAATTGGACAATAAGTCCAAGGTTTCCAATCGGAACGGCTTGAGATGTATTTCGAAATTTGCACTTAAAGGTTACTGCACTACACATCCCTTGTACTGTACCAAGGGTACCAAGGTTCACACCCTTCTCCATAAGAGAAGAAGAATGTGGGAAATATTAAATTTACTAGGTACTGATGAGACAAATCTCAATATCGAGAAGCTCGGAATATTTGTGCCTCAACCCTCTGTAAGTCTAGAAGGTTGTGTGAAGAAAAAATTGTTAATGAATCTATAGAATGCCCTAAACGCTTCTATTTGAACATAAAGCATAGGACTAAGAGATTAGATATTCCATCACTGTTACGTCCAAGGTTTGCATTATTCCGTTATTGAAGCACGGTATGTCGATCTACTTTTAACTTGCGAACCCAAGATAAGAATTAAACCGAACACCATTTCAGGAACCAAAGTTAATTCGCAAATCACGTATAATCGACCCAAATATCGTTCTAATAACAATCATGCCAGTTGCGAAACAAAACGTCAATTTTTTAGGTTCCTGGAGCATAAACTTCCAAATACCAAACTCAAGTCAAAGAGTAATCAAAATGTCCGAAGGTAAAGATATGGATAAACAAGTTTAGAAGTTGAGTAAACTGAATACACCCAAAAACAATGAAATTAATAATATTCAGTATACCAGTTTTTAGTCAGTTACATGTCTTCACTTCTTCCGTAACAAGCACTATGGGGAGACAGTAATGCTTCATCATTAGTGGAGGGAGACTATGGTAAAGCTCAAACTACTTTAGCAATGTCTGTACCGTAGAGACATCCTTCCCGTCGGTTTGTACAAATCCTAACGCACATACACTGGATAATGTGACTATTAGAGAACACAATGTCTTTGATCTGCTAAATAATCATAATGTAAGCAAATCCATGGAACCCAATTATATGCATCCTAGGTTAATAAAGGAATTAGCTAATTTTTAATTTATTCGTAACCCAGGGTCGACTACCAAAAGAATGAAAGAACGCCTTAGTAATTCCTATCCTCAAAACAGGTACGAAACATAAACCTGAGGACTAATGACCCGTTAGCATGACCAACGTGGTTGTTAAAATTTTAGAGAAGATTATTGGGAAGGAGCTTTTTACGTATCTTATTGAAAATTGGATTCTTTCGAAAAGCAGTTTGAACTTAGAATAAGATATCACGTGTCTCACTAAATTATTGGTAGCACGTGATAGTTGGTGCGCTCCTAAAAAAATTAAAATTTACCTATAGACGTAGCCTACATTGACTTCAGCAAAGATTTTGACAATGTTCCACACAACTGACTGCTATGTATGTTAAGAAATGTCAGAGTTGGGGGCGGTCTACTAATTTGGATGATAGACTTCCTAGTTGGGCGCCAACAAAGAGTACGGATGAACTCTAGGTTGTCTGGCTGGAAAATTGTGCTTATCGGAGCGCCTTAAGTTATAGTTTGTGAGCCAGTGTTATTCCTCTTGTATGTCAATGACCTCGCTTGTCTCCTAGCATCATCGGTCTTGCTATTTGCTGACGATGTGAAGACACAGAGGGCTATATGAAGCAAAGATGAAGGCTTAGAACTTCAAAATGACCAGTAGAAATTATCTGAGTGGTCTCAGACTTGGCATTCGCCGAAGAGTACTTCCAAGTGTATTGCGATGCATATTGGTCATCAGTGTACGGATGCATACACGATGAATAACATTTAGCTATCTATTGTCCAGGCCCGTAAGGACTTAGGAGTCATCGTCAGCTAAGACTTAAAAACCATTGCACACTGCCGTGCAATAGCCTCCAAAGGTTTGAGAACCCTATGTTTAATACATAAGGCCTTTGTTCATGTCGACACTAAAACTTTCTTGACTTTGTACATAATATTCGTGAGAACTAAACCCGAGTACTGCATACAGGTGGCCAGCCTCTGCTTAACAAAAGACAGTGAGCTTTTGGTCAAGGTTCAGAGAACAGTAACCACGCTGATTCACGGAATAGGGAAGCTCCTGTATGATTCTCGACTAGCCAAACAAAAACCTATGAAGATGCTACAAGTATTTGTAATTTGACAGCACTTTGACCATTAACACCTCCTATAATTGAATCATGCTTACCCAGCCACATTAAAAGTCATAAGCTAGGAGGTTCGAAGATATATTTAATAGGTTGTCAATATATCGAGAAATGACCGATCTAAACTGGCTGGCGGTTGCAGGAGAAGTTAAGCACGGCGTTCCCTCTCATCATCTGGTGTGGATGCGTGACCAAACACCTTCAGCTAGGTGAGTCCATTAAAACTAATGTGATCAGCATAGAATATTGAAGACTTAGTGAGTTATTGACTTTGGGGATTTATTTATCGTTAAACCTATTCCCACTATCATACCAAAGAACTAGAGGTGACTTGATTACAGTTTTCAGATTACTTGGTGATATATTTGCACCTGGTATTCTCCCATCTTCATTGTCTTCTAAAACAGGAAATTTGCGAGGGCACTCCGATGGAGCTCCATCTGTCAATTCTTTCGATAGAAAGTTGGGTCAACTAAGAGATCATCACTGCCAAGACTAACATAGGCCACTTAGCTTCCTGTTCTTTCCAAACCGAAACTGTATCTAATTTCGGATTTGATGGACTTAGTGAAATGGGATATATATTCCGATTGGTTAACTCTGAGAGACACTGAATTTACAAAGAAATATACTTTAAATAAAGGTTCAACACGGATAATCGACATACTATCTTTCAAGAAAAGTGAGATGCCTGACAAGTGAATCATTTTGCGTTACACTACTGACCTTCATCGTATCCAACGCCTCCTGTAAAAGCTATAGTGACATGTATATTCAATGATTTTTGTAACGACAGTAATAGCTGTCGTTTGAAGTGACGTGTTCTTGGTTGGCTTCGTAGATTCCCTCATAATATATGAAATAACCGTGAAAATAAAGGGGAATTTCCATATAAACTTAAAATATCCTCAACACTAAACTGCAAATATTCGTATAATAAATGAAAAAGTCAAAAACGTCAAACGTTATTTCGACCATATCTCAGAAACAACTGAAGGACATTCAAGGATATTTCTCACGTATGTGGTGTATATGTTTGAGTGTCATGGTTAGGCCAAAATGGAATTAGACAGGGAATACATGAAAATGGGACTGCCTTGGGATCAGTAAGACCAAACTTTGACTAAAACAGTTCTTGTATTTAGTTGGCGTTAAAGTCAAAACCCTCAGATAATAAAGCCATTGTAGATTCCGTCTTAAGGGATGTCATCGACCGTGATAAGCTTCCGGAATCATCCTTGGTAAAAGTTCTCACTTCAGTATATCTAGACGCTAAATCAAAGCTTGGAGCCAATGGTAAGATTATGCTCCCTCCCTGACTATTTTCTAGTGTCACAGGATACAACACAGCAGGTATGTAAATACTTTTTTCTCATTTCAAGAGCTTGGTTTGCATCTCCCAGAATGCTCCTAAAAGTCCTTTAGATTCGAAGATGCCCGATCCAAACAACAAACTAAGCCAATGCGACATGTCAGTCTCAGAAAAAAACAAACGTCAGTGGAGTGAAGATGAAGGTAAGTAGTGTTTATCGATAATAAGATCCCAAATATGTATCAGATTAGTGTTTAATCATACTACTGTTTTATTCATAGGTAACTTGTCAACTCAAATCACTCACAACATATGGGATAAACAACCTGGTTGCTTGGACACACCTAATTTTCGGAAACTAGAAGCTTCAAATGTTGTTTCGGATACTAAAGTCGATTTCCCAACCGGTAAATCTAATCCCGAGTTCACAGAAAAACTGTCTAATTCGAACACAATTAGCGACAATCGGATAGATAATATTCCTGCTCTTACTCCTATGGCTTTTGGTTCTGGACAAGACGCTCATTTGTCAAAACAAGTATGCAACCTTTTCTTTATAGATTACTTAAGACTGTAAAAATATATTTCATTTGCTATCACTCTCTAGGTATTATTTTTGACTGATTTATAAATACCTAGGAGGTAACATTGTTTTCATGTGTGCTTCAGTCAGTCAGTCAGTAACAACGTAGAACTTCGTACGTACGTACATCAGTTCGAGTTGCCACACCACATTAGCACAGAGATGCAGTTGTCGATTCAATCCCGTAGTGGTAGAGGTAATAAGAGTATAAGCAGTAATCGGGAAGATTAGGGTTTGGAGATGTTATTTAAAGAGTATAATACACTGAAATAAATTTGGAAGGAGGAAAAAAGGGACATGAAGAATTCAGAAGATTAGAATTTGGGAGAACACAGAGAGTGGATGCACCTGCGCCATTGCAAACGATTTTGAGCCATGTCATTCAGGGTCTCCAACCATCGGTTGCTATCATCTCGCGGTCCCCAACCAGGTAGTCTACACCTACCAACATGACTCAGTTCACTTGTCAGTGACTTCATGGATTTGTGCCATGTTTTGGTTTGGCCGCCCCTAGCTTTCTTCCAACCTACTCCTATACCACTGAACATAGCACGTCGAGGCAGTCGGTCGTTGGGCATACGTAACACGTGTCCCAGCCATCTCAACTGATGAAGTTTCACTACTTCATCAATTGATTTGCCATCCTTACCTAGTACCCGTTTCCTAACAACTGTGTTACTTACTCGATGGTCCCATGATATACGAGCAATGTTTCGAAGACACCTATGATCAAATACTAGTAACCTACGAATATCCTCTACTCTTACCGGCCATGTTTCACTGCCATAAAGTAGGACGGAGCGAACTGCTGCGCAGTAAACACGTCCTTTGTTTGATAGACGGATATCATGTGTGCTTATTATTAGCTTACTGACCTACCTTTAAGCTTTATGTTATGAAATACCAACTTATACCGTTTCATAAACCTCACCTGTGACTGATTTATCCAGTACAGATTCACGTACTTGACTCGAAGTATATGACTTGCGACTTGAACCTGTAATCTGTTGATTGAGTTTGAATGAGTTAGTCATAAAAATACACTTTCCCTCACTAGTTTCACAGCAGTACACAAATTTCATGGATTGTCACATAGAATTTCACATCTTTTTCCCCATACTCTGACGCTTTTCTGCGCTTCTAATCGTGTTAGCATCACATTTTTCATCAGATATGAACGAGTTATAACACAGACAAACAGATTACCAGCAAGAAATGAAGTTGGAGATTTTGGGATTATAACACTCTGTTTTCAATACGCTCGTTTAACTGTTTGATTCCTGCAAGTCCCGACGGTAGATGTAGAAAGCTACACTGTCTGGTTCTCTGTTATCAAACCAATTGTGGGTACAAAGGTAAAATTTCCATCCACCACTTTCTAGGGCTGATTGAAAACTGTCATTTTTTCCAAGCACATGTTTAAACTTCAGTTATGTTTTCTTGCGGTGTTGTTTGTTTGTGTCTTACTGCATGAGAAAAAATCACAACGAAATGTCCTAATCGATTTCAGCTCAAGGTTGAACATATATTAAAAAATGTATTTAAAAGAGGATTTGATGTAATTAGTGGAGCCGTTTAAGGAGTTTCAAAAGCAAATGAAATAGTTTCTAGCCTCCAAGAATATATTTTCATATTTTATTTGAGAAGTCAACTTATGTTTCAGGAAGAAAATCGTCGGCAGTGGAAGGCTGCATTAGATGAACAACTGAAAGAGCAACAACTTATGCGAGGCAAAAATCTTCAGGAACTGCAAAAGGAGTGCGAATTCAATAAAATTCAGTCAGGATCTTCTTCAAATAACTGCGGACATTGTGACAACTCGAATGAATTTCATGGATTAAGTATATCGAAGTGAGTCTTTTAAAATACGTTTGCTTGTATTAGCTGGATATTGGAAGAATGAACTTTTCTCAAATACATACAAGGTATTTCCGAAAAGTAATATATTCACAATGTCATCCTTCATTCACACTATGGTTTTACTGTGCTTCAAAACAATTTCTTGTTTTATCTTTTCAGTATTACACAAGCACGTCTATTTCTATTTTAAAATTTTGTTTGAAATAGCAATCCATCTAACAGCGCATTGGCATCACATCCTTCGGCTAGTCATTTTATGTCGTCAGGTTTCTTTTTACCTGATTCAGCTGTTACCAACGATTTCCATGCATCATCTAGAAAAATGGATACTACTAACCAACCCTGGAAGGTTGGTTTTAATCGTATTCGAGGTTTTACTCAACAACTGTATATAGATTCCTTGGAATCCGCTGAACGTGCGCGACTTGCTCACGAAACTAGAGTAAGTTTTAAATTAGATATATTAAGTACTTTACCTCTGTCCATAATAATTGTCATTATAATGTAAGCTTTCTGTAGATAACTTCGCCCGGAGTCCCTCCAGGGGCTACTGCCGGTCCCAAGCCCGGATAAAGGAGGAGGGTTGGGCATGGGGTTAGCGTCCCCATCCCGTAGAAAACTAACTCGCTAAAAAAACGCTAACCAGAAAAAATTATTCAAACCTTTTAAACTCTGCCCTGGGAGTCAGAAGGTCTTTATTTAGAAGAACTATGACGCCTCATGATGAAAGCCGAATTCCTTCGGCAGTTACGAGACCGATGCCCCTTTTGACAACCAGAGCGACCACTTATTTAGGTACATGGAATGTTCGTACAATGTGGGACACCGGGAGAGCCTTCCAAATTGCTGCAGAAATGAGGAGATACAACCTAGAGGTGCTTGGGATCAGTGAAACACATTGGACGCAAGTTGGACAACAACGACTAACTACAGGAGAGCTCCTGTTATACTCCGGCCATGAAGAAGAAAATGCCTCACATACACAAGGAGTTGCATTGATACTGTCCAAACAAGCGCAAAATGCGCTTATATGATGGGAATCTCATGGACCAAGGATCATCAAAGCCTCGTTCAGAACAAAGAAAGAAGGCATTTCAATGAACATCATCCAACGCTATGCGCCTACCAACAATTACAATGAAGACGCTAAAGATCAATTCTACAATAGGCTGCAGTCAATCGTCGAGAAGTGCCCAATAAAGGACCTGACCATTCTGATGGGAGATTTCAATTTCAAGGTTGTAATGGACAACACCGGATGTGAAGACATCATGAGACGACACGGACTGGGAGAAAGAAACGAAAATGGTGAGAGATTTGCAAACCTATGTGCCTTCAATAAACTGGCCATAGGCGGCACCATATTCCCACATAAACGCATACACAAAACCACATGGACTTCACCGGATCACACCACGCAAAACCAAATTGACCATATTTGCATCAACAAAACGTTCAGGAGGACGATGGAAGACGTGAGAACCAAGAGAGGAACTGATATAGCATCAGATCATCACTTGGTGGTCGCCAAGAAGCACTGGACAATGGGGCGGACAATATCACAAAAGTTCAATACGGCCTTTCTTCAGGATACTAACAAACTCAACGAATTCAAGATGGTCCTCAGCAACAAGTTCCAGGCCTTTCATGATCTACTCAATGGAGAAGGAACTACTGTGGAGAGCAACTGGAAGGGCATCAAAGAGGCAATCACTTCAACATGTCGTGAGATCCTGGGTCACAAGAAGTACCATCACAAGGAATGGATCACTATTGATACACCGGATAAGATTCAAGAAAGAAGGAACAAGAAGGCAGCAATCAATACCAGTCGAACAAGAGCGGAAAAAGCCAAGGCACAAGCTGAATACACAGAAGTAAACAAACAAGTGAAGAGGAGCATCGGAAACGACAAACGTAAATATGTGGAAGATTTAGCAACGACGGCGGAAAAGGCTGCAAGAGAAGGAAACATGAGACACTTGTATGACACGACAAAGAAACTCTCTGGAAATCGCCGCAAACCAGAACGACCAGTGAAAAGCAAGGAAGGCGAGGTAATCACCAACATTGAAGAGCAACAAAACAGGTGGGTAGAACACTTCAAAGAACTCTTGAATCGACCGGCTCCACTGAACCCATCCAACATCGATGCAGCACCCACGGACCTCCCAATCAATGTTGGCCCACCAACAACTGAAGAAATCAGCATGGCCATCAGACAAATCAAGAGTGGCAAAGCAACAGGACCGGACAACATCCCAGCAGAGGCACTAAAAGCAGACGTAGCGGCAACTGCACGGATACTCCACATTCTCTTCAATAAGATTTGGGATGAGGAACAAGTACCAACAGACTGGAAAGAAGGACTTCTGATCAAAATACCGAAGAAAGGCGATCTCAGCAAGTGTGATAACTACAGAGGCATCACTCTTCTCTCAATACCGGGAAAAGTCTTCAACAGGGTATTGTTAAACAGGATGAAGGACTGCGTAGACGCCCAACTTCGTGACCAACAGGCAGGATTCCGTAAGGATAGATCGTGTACAGACCAAATCGCAACTCTACGGATCATTGTGGAACAATCAATTGAATAGAATTCATCACTCTATATCAACTTCATTGACCACGAAAAGGCATTTGACAGCGTGGACAGAACAACACTATGGAAACTTCTTCGACACTACGGCGTGCCTCAGAAGATAGTCAATATCATACAGAACTCATATGATGGATTACACTGCAAAATTGTGCATGGAGGACAGTTGACAAAGTCGTTCGAAGTGAAGACCGGTGTTAGGCAAGGTTGCTTACTCTCACCCTTTCTCTTTCTCCTGGTGATCGACTGGATCATGAAGACGTCAACATCTGAAGAGGGAAGTACGGGATACAAAGGACATCTAGGATGCAGTTGGACGATCTAGACTTCGCAGATGATCTGGCCCTTCTATCCCAAACGCAACAACAAATGCAGGAGAAGACGAACAGTGTAGCAGCAGCCTCAGCAGCAGTAGGTCTCAATATGCACAAAGAGAAAAGCAAGGTTCTCCGATACAACACAGCATGCATCAATCCAATCACAATTGACAGAGAAGATTTGGAAGATGTAAAAACCTTTACATATCTGGGCAGCATCATTGATGAACAGGGTGGATCTGATGCAGATGTGAAGGCGCGGATCGGCAAAGCAAGAGCAGCATATTTACAACGGAGGAACATCTGGAACTCAAAGCAACTGTCAACCAACACCAAGGTCAGGATTTTCAATACAAATGTCAAGACAGTTCTACTATATGGGGCAGAAACCTGGAAAACTACGAAAGCCATCATCCAGAAAATACAGTTGTTTATTAACAATTGTCTACGCAAAATACTTCAGATCCATTGGCCGGACACTATTAGCAACAACGTACTGTGGGAGAGAACAAACCAGATCCCAGCGGAGGAAGAAATCAGGAAGAAGCGGTGGAAGTGGATAGGACACATTGAGGAAAGCACTCAACTGCGTCACAAGACAAGCCCTCACATGGAATCCTCAAGGCCAAAGGAAAAGAGGAAGACCAAAGAACACATTACGCCGAGAAATGGAAATAGACATGAGAAAAATGCACAAGAATTGGATGGAACTAGAAAAGAAGGCCCAGGACAGAGTGGGTTGGAGAATGCTGGTGGGCGGCCTATGCTCCATTGGGAGTAACAGGCGTAAGTAAGTAAGTTTCCGTAGATATTTTAAAAAGACTGGTGAAAAAGGCATTTTCAAAACTTACTTGGATCCAGCTAAAATATTAGGAAAAAAACGTTGTACTTGAAGTGTGTTTGTATGAATGTTTGTAATACTACTCAGCTAGACCGAAGTAGTTAAAGTACGGTTTAAACTTATGACCTACTGGTTGTAAACAGAATGCTTCAATCGCTAAAGGACCATTTAAACTTCTAAATTTTTACAAGATTGTATATCTATTTGTGTTACGCTCCATATCTAGCAGTAGTACTATCACGTCAGTGTAATGATATCGGTGATCAAACATTAACAATCTTTTGGTCTTTAATTTTGTTCTTTCCATCTGATTGTTCTCCGATGAACGATTCGTTTTTTGATTTTGGTTTTGCTGTTTGTGTCTTGCAAGCACTGCATAAACCCGGAATCTAGTCGAACTTACAAAACACACAACCTTTCAGTAATCTCTGAAAAACCAAAAGCTAGTTACAACCACTAACCATTTGTTTTCATTGATCATCTAACTTTATTTACTCAAACATGACGTCAGATACTATTAATATAGATTTTAAATAATGTTTTATATCATCAATAATGTTCATCATAAAATGTGTGGTAAACAGCTTGGATTTATGCCCAAGAGTCTTGTTAACAAAGTTATGAATTTCGGTGAATCATAACCACTGAATTTGTTATGACTGAAACGAAATAATCTTCAAAATTACTATTCTCCTCTCATAGTTTCTAAATAATTGTACTCGCAACTTGGTTATCTCATTCTCCTTACCAGTATTTTTCAAAACTAGGTGACTAGAAGTAATTCAAAACAGGTAAAAGCGCAATAATGTATTCAGCATTATAAACGAGTTATATTTTTATTTACATTTTTAGACAAAAAATAGGTTTCTGACTTATGAATGGACTACTGGGTTAACAAGCTCTTGGGAATCGTTGAAAAATAAGGTTAAATGGGAAGCGTCACACTTAAAATAAAGTCGTGAATTACCAATCACAAAACGGTTTTGGGAATACACACATTATTATTAGAGAAAGCTTAAGTCAGAATATAATACTATTCATTAATAAAAAATCTCGAACTAAGTATGGAAGTAAGATTTTCTGGGGTTTCTTACTTATACCATCCAGATCGGGAGCTAATTGTCGCACAACAGTAGATAAATATAAAACTTCCAAATCATTTTTATAGTCAATGATCTTGTTTCTGACTGACTGAATGTTAACGTACCAGAAATCCTTCCTGCTATGTATTTAGCGATAGCTAATTCAACAGTCCATAACTTTTGTGTGTCTATTTAGTCTTTTATGAGTGTTGATTATACTTTCGTCTTAGATGATCGTAAAGATTATCTTTAAAACTCTATACCTTTACCTTTAAGGCTTATAAATGTTTCTATTTCAAGACTATCAGTTTTGTGCGTGGTGTTTATGTGGTTATCTGGATGCTAATTAGTAACTGGGTCTAAATAAATAATAATAATAAACGAACATTCCATGTATCTAAATAAATGGTCGCTCTGGTTGTCAAAAGGGGCATCGGTCTCGTAACTGCCGAAGGAATTCGGCTTTCATCATGAGGCGTCATAATTCTTCTAAATGAAGACCTTCTGACTCCCAGGGCAGAGTTTAAAAGGTTTGAATAATTTTTTCTGGTTAGCGTTTTTTTAGCGAGTTAGTTTTCTACGGGATGGGGACGCTAACCCCATGCCCAACCCTCCTCCTTTATCCGGGCTTGGGACCGGCAGTAGACCCTGGAGGGACTTCAGGCGGAGTTAGTAACTGGGTCTAACAACAGATTATCATTCTATAATTTAGTTACGAATCCATTCGCTGTCTACGGTTTTATTTATTCTAAGTACAACTCATTTTAGTTGTTTGTGAAACCTAATATGATTATAAGCAAAGGAATAATTGTAGTACATCATAAACAAATGTACAGTCAGTTTGCACCTGCTATTTGATAAGTCACTATGAAGAGTTCTTGTGAATAGTAAATTATAGTGGATTGAAAAGGTAATGATGAGTACACTGGATCATAAAGTCATCATCACTTAGCTTAGGAAAAAATGTATATCATAGCACATTTGTGGTATGCACAGCTAAGTTTTGGAACATACTTTCTACTATTTTATCGTTTTTGTATTTAATTACTGTCACATGAACATTTTTCGATTGATGTTATGCTAATATTTTACATACTAAGTCAAAAATTTACAACTAACTAAAGGAAAATTAATTAATAAGTAAACATCCGACATAATCCTCCACTCTTGGCTTATGGGCTTTTTTAGTGAAGCCCAGATGCTACCATAAATTCAATCCGAATGTGTTAGACAAATAAAATGTTGAGCATACATTCTGTTATTTTAAATCTATTATTTGGATCTGCCTGTGCTCTAGCAAGCACCATCTTAGGCTCCGAAAATTTATCTTCAAAGTTATTACGTCAAAAAGCTCATTGTTATGTCATAAATATTGATCTGTGTTTTAGTGATAACAAGTCTCAGTTAAAACAAAGTGTACAATCTGAACTTTGTTGGTTTTTATGAACTAGCAAACTGTTAATACATTATTTCAGGGTGTTTTGAACATTGTTGAACCTAAAGTTTTACATTGGAAGATACATTATTTGACAATTAATGCTATTGGTTTATACTCATCAAATAAAGACATCAGTATTAAAAGTGGATTCGTGGGATATTTTTATGCTAATTGTTGTTTTGTAGTTATTTTCCTGAGGAATCATTCATCCATCAGTATATACACTTTTAGAGTAATCTCACATGTTTTTTGTAATAAAAGGCTGACTGTATAAGTTGGTTTCATTATCTTCACAAACTTGTCCAATAATAATTTCCAAGTTTAATCATATGTATATGCTGAGAGTGTTGGAGACTGGAAGTATGACCATCTCATACTAGTCATTTTGTTCAAAAACTTTCCATCTGGAATCGAAATTTCTGTTAAAATAATCTCTGTGATTGATTTTTGTAGTTACTATAGCTGGTTTTCATTCTATTAAACTATTGCCTTTAACTGAAGTAAATTATATAGTTCTATGATATGCCTCATTTCCTTTGCTCATCAACACCAATATCTTATTAGGCTATCAACATCAAACATTTGGAAAATAGATTCGAAATAGTCGTTAGAAATTTTATGATTCGTTTATTGTCTATGTTTTAGTTGATAAATTTGAAACAAATCGAAGAAAAACGTCGTCTAAAAGAAGAAGAGAAAGCAAGACTCCTTATGGAAGAGAAAATGGAAGAAGAGCGTATCTCACGTGAACGTCTTCGATTACAACAAATGGCCGAGGTTGAAAATGCTCGAAAAATAGCGAAAGATGTATGAGTATTAGTTTTAATATTAAATATTTTTATCATCCAATGTTATTCAAATACATTTTACTTAAGTTCATACGAATTTTATCTTTCACGTACTCTTACTTGCGTTTTCTACGTGTTGATTTCCTGGAGGTTAGTACATCGTTGAAATCATTTCTTAGATACGTTTATGGTTACAGATATGAGCTATACCACTTGAATTGGTTGTTTCAACATATTACTGTTAGAAGAATAATTATCATTATGAAATTTCACCTATTGGTAATGTTACTTTCAATGCTGTTACTTGCGACATCGGCAAATCAGTCGGGTTCCTGTTTATCTCTACAAATAAAACGTTTTGCTGCTAAACTAACTAGTTAGAATGGATTGCTATACTACGAAAATAAATGATTTGCCATTTTAGTAAAATACGATAATACACTGACAATAGACTGGCTAATTGACCTCAGTAGGAGATTTCAGTTGTTATAGGATTAGATCGGAGGAAAGTTTGAGGAGGCCTAACCAATTTATGGAATAAGTCATTGAAATCATTGACTTGGTCTAAGTCACGTTGGTAGATTCGGACTACCTCGTTAGTGTTTTTGCAATAACCGTGATATCTTCGATCAGTAGCATGGAACTTTTTATGATATGGCTCATAATCGTTCACAATGTCTCAGATACGTCGGCTCTTTATCTATTGATTTTGAATCCCTCATATACAAATTTCTACTTAGTCTTTTTTTATCGCCGTTGTTACTATATTGTTTTGATCTATTTTACTATACACCTTGTTGATTTCTTATTGTGCTAATTTGTATAACAACTTGGGCTAATGCACATCTGTGACAGGTTCTACGTCGATTACGACACTAATTGATAAATTACTGTGCAGGGTTACCCCGACCGTAGCTGCTACCTTGACGTGGTGGTCGGACTTGTCTATCGTGATGACCCAACCGAGCTATATTGGATGGAACATATGTTCCTGCAGGTTCTACAATACCAGGGAGGCCAATTGGAGAACGTTAAAACTGAAAGCAGCAACTCAAGGTCTGAGGGCAAAGTCGTACTGCTGACTTCAGAGGGGTGTGACGGCAATAAGGTGTTCCCCTCGAACAACCAGCATCTGCAGCGATGCTGCCTTCTCACAAGGAAGGAAGGGGTTGGAAAAGGTGGACCCTAAAAATGTCACACCTCACCTTACCTCGCGGATTTCCGTTTCTGGCGGTATGGCCCTTTGAAGAACGGAGCTAACTCGTTAAGAACTTCCCACAAAAATTCCGTGCGTGACTGGCCTCAATCAGTTGTCCCTTGGGCTCTGCGGTCACACTCCCAGGTCGTTAAGACCAACACTAATCCGACTTCCTTTTCAGGTTCCTCAAGAAATACCCTTCCACGGTGCGCGCAGTCGGGAATTGACATCAGTTCTCATACCTGTAACAGCACACGAGGCCAAGTCAGTCACATTCAAATCCCTCCTACACTTCCAAATGAATCTCTCATCTCCACGACTATCCCTTCTCACACCTCTTTATCACCTCGCACCGCTAATGCAAACGATTCGAGTACGTGGAACGTTATTCCTGGTCTCCTGAAACCACGCTCTAAACTACACGTAGGAGCTTTTAACGTCCGAACACTGTGCCAAATAAGACAACATGTCTCCTTAGCCAGGACTTCAGAATCTCGCGCCATAGATGTGTGCTGTGTTTCCAAAACGCGCACACAGGATCCGAGTAGCGTCATTCACTTGACCTCACCATATCAAAGTTAAGAACCATCTCGATTCACGCTTCGTGTATCTGGAAGCCGTGATGCTGCTTCCCGTGGCCTCGCTGGCGTAGGTATAGCATTGAGTCATAAGGCAGAACCAGCTCTCTTAGACTGGATCCCAATAGACAGTCTTTTGTGCACTATCCGACTAAACGGAACGGTACGGACTCGGAAAGATAGGGACACTCGTCATTGCCTCTTCGTCGTCTCTGCCCACTCTCCCACTGGCTGCAGCTCAGATGGTGTAAAAGATGAGTTTTACAGAAAGCTTCCCGACCTCCAAAACGTTAGGCGCTCGGATGTACTAATAGTGGCTGATGACTAATGCTCAAGTAAGTAAACTAAGTAGAAAGGAAAGACACATGGGTGGATCGTATGGTGTCGCGGCTCAAAGAACAGATAATGGCGACCGTCTGTTGCAGCTATGCTCAGATAACCGCCTGTTTCTTGCAAACACCAACTTTACGCATAAGGAAAAACATCTTTTGACATGGCGACCCCCTCATTTGTCCCAACGTTGGACCCAACTAGATCACATCGCTATCAGCCACTGATGGAGGGGCTCGATAGAAGATTGTCGCTCATTCTGGAGCATATGCTTATACTCAGATCATGCTCCAATGCGAGTGCGTATTTGTCTACGTCTTACTGGACGTAGGAAAGACGCTGCAAGGAAACCTCTTAGGGTCCTACTTAATGATAGTCAACTTACTTACGCCTGTTACTCCTTGTGAAGGAGCATGGACCGCTCACCAGCATTCTCCATCGAACTCTGTCCTGGGCAATCCTTCCCAGCTCCTTCCAGTTGTTATTCATTCTTTTCATATCTGCTTCTATTTCCCGACGTAATGTGTTGTTTGGCCTTCCTCTTTTTCGCTTCCCTTCAGGATTCCAGGTCGTATGAGTTCCGAATAATGTTGACAATCTTCTCAGGAACTCCGTAGTATCGAAGAAGTTTCCATAACATCCTCCCATCTACACTGTCAAATGCCTTTTCATAACCAATGAAGTTGATTTACAGTGACGAGTTCCACTCATTTGATTGTTCGACGATTATCCGTAATGTTGTAATTTGGTCTGTGCATGACCGATCCTTACGGAATCTAGCTTGTTGATCTCGAAGTTTGGCGTCTGCTGCGTGTTTCATCCAGATCAGCAACACTCTTTTAAAGACTTTCCCTGGTATTGACAGTAGCGTGATGCCTCTGTAGTTTTCACATTTGTTCAGACCTCCTTTCTTTGTAATCTTGATGAGGTGTTCTTATTTGCAGTCCATCGGCACTTGTTCCTCCTCCCAAATCTTTTTGAATAGAAGGTGAAGTATGTTTGTAGTGATTTTGATGTCTGACTTCAGTGCTTCAGCTGGTATATTGTCGGGTCCTGCTGCTTTCCCGCTCTTGATTTGTCTGATGGCCATTCTGTTTTCTTCCATCTAATGCTCTTCTCCACTTGCTTGTTTGCTTCTAAGTACCCAGATTGTGTTTGGAATTTCTCTGCTCGTGTTCGGCTGTTGTTAATAGCAGTCTTGTTCTTCCTTTTTTGATTCTGTCCAGTGTTTCTATAGAGATCCATTCCTTATGATGATGCTTCTTGAGGCCCAGAACCTCTTGACACGTTGAAGTTAATGCTCTTTTGATAACTAGTGTAGGGTTTGTGGACATTATTAAGTTTTTGATTGAGATCATGAACCGATTGATGTTAGAACACCACCTTTGGAAACCTGGAAGCACTGGACGGCCATTTCGTCCTATTGTGGGACTCCTCAGCAGTGCGCGTCCACGATTGGATGCCGGTTCTGTGGTCCAGCTGGTTAAGCGCTCGCGCGCGAGACCGAAGGCCCTGGGTTCGAATCCCGCGAGCGGAGTCGTGGATGCGCACTGCTGAGGGGTCCCACAATAGGACGAAACGGCCGTTCAGTGCTTCCAGGTTTCCAAAGGTGGTGTTCTAACATCAATTGGTTCATTATCTCAATAAAAAAAGCTTTTTTGATACCTTTCCAGTTGTCCACCATAGTAGTTTCTTCTCCCTCCAGTAGATCTTGTAAGGCTTGGAACATGTTGTTGTGAGCTATCTTGTATTCATTGAGTTTGTTAGTATCTCGAAGGAAGGCAGTATTGGACCTTTGTAGTGCTGATTGTCCGGTTCTTCTTTAGCTTCATTTTTAAATTGGCTACAACTAGGTGGTGATCTGAAGCTATGCCAGCTCCTCTCCTGGTTTTCACATCTTCCATTGTCCTTCGGAATTTTTTATTAATGCAAATATGATCTATCTGGTTCTCTGTGGTGTGGTCCGTTGAGATCTATGTAGCTCTGTGTATACGTTTGTGTGGAAATATTGTGCCTCCTATGATCAATTTGTTGAATGCACACAGATTTGCAAATCTTCCTCCGTTTTCGATTCTCTCTCCCAGTCAGTCCATGTCGTCCCATGATATCTTCATATCCGGTGTTGTCTATTCCGACTTTGGCGTTTAGATCTCCCATCAGAATGGTGAGGTCCTTTCTTGGGCACTTCTCTATGATTGACTGCAGCTGCTCGTAGAATTGATCTTAAATGTCGTCGTTGGTATTATTGGTGGGTGCATAACATCGAATAATATTCATTGTGATCCCCTCCTTCTTTGTTTTGAATGATGCTTTGATGATTCTGGATCCGTTAGATTCCCATCCTACAAGTGCATTTCGTGCTACTTTGGACAGCATTAGAGCAACTCTCTGAGTGTGTGGAGCATTTTCCTCTTCGTGACCGGAGTATAGCAGTATCTCTCCCGTATTTAGCCTTTGTTGTCAAGCTTGGGTTTAAGGGGTTTCGCTGATTCCCAGTACTGCCATGTTGTATCTCCTCATTTCTGTTGCTATTTGACTGGTCTTCCCGGTCTCCACTTGTTGACTCAGAATATGCCGATGACATAGTTCTATTTGGTGAAGACGCTGACAAAATGCAGAGTCTTCTGACCACTTAAAGCAACAATGCAAGTATGTTCGGAATGCGATTCTCCCCCTCGAAATGCAAAATGTTGCTTCAGGATTGGGTTGCATCGAGACCCGAACTAATGATAGGGAGTGAAGTAGTTGAGCGTGTCGACCGCTTCACTTATCTTGGAAGTCTGATCAGCCTTTGTGGTCTGGTGTGTGACGAAATCTCAGCACGGATACAGAAGGCTCGACTAGCTTTTGCCAACTTGCGTCATTTATGGTGTAGGCGAGATATCTGTCTATGAAACAAAGGATGTGTTTACTGCGCAGCAGTTCGTTCCGTCCCACTTTATGGCAGTGAAACGTGGCCAGTAAGAGTAGAGGATATTCGTAGGTTACTAGTATTCGATCATAGGTATCTTCGAAACATTGCTCGTATATCCTGGGACGATCGAGTAAGTAACGGAGTTTGTTAGGAAACGGGTACTAGGTAAGGATGGCAAATCGATTGATGACGTAGTGAAAATTGATCAGTTGAGATGACTGTGACACGTGTTACGTATGCCCAACCACCGGCTGCCTCGACGTGCGATGTTTTATGACGTGGGAGTAGGTTTGAAGAAAGTTAGAGGTGGCCAGACCAAAACATGGCACAAATCCATAAAGTCACTGACAAGTGGACTGAGTCACGTTGGTAGGTGTAGACTACCTTGTTGGGGACCGTGAGATGATGGCAACCGATGGTTAGAGACCTTGAATGGCATGGCTCAAAATTGTTTGCAATGGTGCAGGTGCATCCACTCTTTGTGTTCTCCCAAATTCTAATCTTCTGAATTCGTCATGTCCTTTATTTTTCCAGAATTATTTCACTGTTTTATACTCTCTAAATAACATCTCCAAACACTAATGTTTCCGATTACTGCATATACTCTTACTACCTCTACCACTACGGGATTTGAATCGACCACTGCATCTCTGTGCTAATGTAGTGTGGCAACTCGAACTGATGTACTTACGTACGTAGTTCTACGTTGTTACTGACTGACTGACTGATACGAGGTTACATTGTACTCACATACACGATATCTTACTAAGGTTTTAGGGGCAGTTTAGAGAGATAATGTATTTACTTAAAGTACAAGGAGTCGACTACAATTCATTCGAAATAAAATTTTTGAGTGTATCACTAGTGAAATCAACAATAGGAAGTTGACAAGATTGTATCGCCTTACACATTCGGCGTAATTGAATATCTATCTTTGCTTATTTACTAATCAACCGGGAAATCATAACGTTATTACCCAAAGATAATTTAACGTAAGTAGTATTTGGAATTATTTCAAAAAATTAAACTTATCAGTAGAATACTCAACACTAAAATTAAATGTGTCTAGTTTGTTCGTTGTCTGTTTTCAAAATTACCGTCAACCGTTTAAGCATGCACGAAACAATAGGACTAGTCTAACTGACTGCTGATTCCAAATATTGTTAATTCTACCACATACTTTTGTTTCTCTTCAGGTGGAAGAATTTCAACGTACACAATACTTATATGAATCACTTGTTCGCGCTCAAGAAGAAGCGAAGCTGACTAAAATTCAAAAACATCCATGTTACTCAGAATTAAAACGAAACAGGGATTCATTAAGTCAAAAAGCCGTCATACAGTCTGAATTACTTGTCCCATATTTGTCTATTGCATCTGAGGTTGAAAAACAGAGTCAAAATAATCCTTTGTATCCTTTCCTATCTTCATCCGGTTGTAATGCGCTAGATGTAAGTCAATATGTTGTGATGATTATTATCAATATTTTGATAAATAGGATTTTTGTAAGTATGTGTTTATGGAAATGATATTTGTATTTTTTTGTGCTTCATCAAAAGAAACAGTATTGGATATCGTTTATTACTAATATCATTACCTTTTACTAGTTGATTTGAATAATATTCATAATTATGAAGCTAAATTTCATTTCCTACATGCAATTGTTATGTCAATAAAGTTTACTGTCCTATGATCATTTCCACCTCAACATTTAATCTGATAATATGAACTGATGCCACTGAGTATGTTTATCACTTCACTTTTTCTGGTCTTTAACTAATCCCAATCTAACATCCTATATTTAGTCAGTCTATGAAGATTAAAGCAAAATCTTTTAAATAAAGGTTGACTAACTATTGACTTAAATTTTATACGTAGATGAAAACTTACTGACATGATTATTTGTATCGCTAAATTACTGTTTATGAGCTTCTAATACCATCAGTTATACTTGTGTTCCTTATCGAGCTTAAGTGTATTATTTGACAGTCAAATCGTGCTCTATTTTACTATATGTAGTCCATTTTTAAAAATCTTGTTTTCTTTGTTATTTATTACTCACAGTAAATATCCAGAGGTGTGACAAATTGATACAAATTCGTAGTGGTTAGTTCTATCGCCAATCCATTTACTTAGTTATATTGGTCATATGTTGAATACGATGTTTAAATTACAGTAGTTGTTCACAGATCCTTATGTAATTTAAAGATATTTTCCAGTATTATTATTTACATTTGGTTGTACATTTTCTTACTCAGTATCTGTTGAAATCTATTATATTCATTTGTAGTCTGTTGCATATCCTAAGAATTCATTGGCTGTTCAAACTTCGTTTCCCGAAAATATCGGCATTCAAACAGGTAAACAGATTCTTTCTGCAATAAAGTTAAGTTTTATCGATTTATTTTTCGCGCATAAGTCAGTAATTACCACCCAAGTAGTCTAGTTTATTAATTGCAGTTTAAGCGATTCCGCATAGTAGACTTGTAAGTTATGAACATAATTAGCCATTATGTATCAGTAATATTTTAAGTCTCTTGATATAAGCATTTAACAGCACTTTTTAATGCTTAACTTAATCCACACTCTCTGTTGTTTGCAAATTTCGTACTGAAATCATACTATGTGGACCTAAGTAGACGTTGAGGGTTTTAGAGATCATATTATCTGACTAAATTTCTGAAGTAAATTTTGGCCAAATTTTAAAGTAGCATAGTGTCATATAAAGTTCTATAGGATATGATCAACTTCTGCTGTGTAGTGTTTGTTCTTTGATACTCAAATCAAGTGTTCGATTTTTTTTCGAAGTTTTCACACTGATTCAGAGATATAAGCCTGACTGCATATTTTATGTTGAAGTATTCTAAAAGTCCTACATGTTTGTTGTCATTCCTTTTAAGTCATCTGTTCATTTTAAAAAGATACTAGCGACTCATAACAAGGAAAAAAATATATGTCGGGGCTTCTGGTTTTTGTTCTTGAAATGGTATCCTTTTGTATTGTTATATTTCATACGTAATTTCGGTTTTCAGAAAAAGTCCAAACTAATGTTAAAATATTTGCTTACTTCTGTTGGGATGATTGGTTTTTCTCATCATCTAACGATTAATTATTATTTGTCAGTTAAACAAACCACTTAGAAAATAGGACTTGATTATTCTTCCGTTTCTAATTTAAACTTTATCCACTTTAATGATCAACCCAACAGCTATGTAAATCCCAATATGCGTAGTTGTGTTCACATCTTCCGTACTTGTCTATGAACTCCCTTGCTAGGTAGCGTGAACCAAGTTGACACTGTCTATATCTGTTTCTTTGGCTTATTCAATACACTTGTCTCCTGATAGTGTGTAGTTCGGAGATGTTTTAGGTATTAGTAATGTGTGGCAAAGTAATGCAGATACTTTAACTTACTATCACATACTGATAAAAAGAGCATGACGTTTATTTATCATCCTTGATAAACAGTAAACACTATCCTTATCAGGAAAACCTTACTTTTATGTATACTTATATCATTGAGAATGTTTTCAAGTTATGTTGTCGACAATATGCAAAATGAAATGTTCTCATTTCGAATCTATTTTAGAAAACTTCGAATGGACTAATTCGAAAGACAAACAAGTTTCGAATAATCCAGATTTGAAAAATCAAAATAATGGCACTCCTGCTCACAAACTAAAACCCAGTGACAACAAATCAGTAAAGAATAATCTGAGTAAAATGTCTGTATCTGTGTCAAATCAACAAAAACAACAGTGTGAGTGAATTTCAAATTCTTAACAAATTCTAATTACAAATAATGGGATCAAGTATTGATATAATGTTCTAATTTTGTGTTACTTTGGATACCATACACAATAAAGTCTATGGTTCCTAAGTGGATGAATTACTAGCGTATGATAGTTTTTTCTTTTTTACACTTTAGGATCACTATAGACGATCACGCCTTAATTTCACCACTGACACCTAATATATATTGTGTGAATTCACTCTTTCGAGTTAAATTTATTGTCTACAATTTTTCCAAATACATTAGAAATTCTAGTAGTTTATGCTGACAATGTTGTGTAGAAAGACAGTTAAAAGCTTCACGACTAAATCGGCCAGCTTAATTAATGCTGTCTCACTAAAATTATTTTCTCAAGCTACAAATCGTCACCACATCAAAGTGTCTAATTGGTAATAAATTAAGATCAGAATACCAACTGTTATGTCGAGAAAAATAGATGCTTTAGGTTGTGTTGGGACCCATGTGGGCAGTAATGATAGGAACACAGTTGTATGATCTCAGTCCAATCCGGTTGTCGATTACTTCACTTGTATTGGCTTATGGACCGGTAAATTTAGTGCCAGAGTGACGCACCGATCAATGAATAACTACCAAGACTTCACTGCTTATCGACCGTTGAGCTCCTTCTAACCCCATTGACTAATCGAAAGATGAAGATAGAATTCAGATCAGTTCTTTATTGTACTCAACTCAAATATAACTCAGAGCTCATACACTAATATACCTGAAATGTCTAACCACAAGACAAGACTATAAAAGAATTACAATGCGTACATAACCTAGACATAGGTTATACAAAATTCGAGTAATAGGGGGAAAAGGCAACTGATGGTAAATCCGAAGTGATAAGATGCATGACAAGGAATAATGGATCAAACAAAAGGTTAAAAATGGGAGGGTGTAAAAATACAACAATCGAAGGGTCCACTAATTATATGATAAAAATATAAATAATAACCCTTCGTATCAAAGTCTGGAAAAGTATACTTCAGCACTATTCGTCCCATTATATCACCAACTTCATAAATTATCCTATGTAATGGCACATTAATAAAACATGACCAGTAATTACACTACAACCGTTTGTGATGAATCCACTTGGTAACAAGAGGAAGACTGGTCTCTCGAATGAAATCTTATGTATCAATACACATAATCCTAGTAATATTTTATTCATTCTTTGTAATGTTTATTAATTATTTCATCATTTTATTTTTTTAACAATGAGTGTGTTTAAATAATTATATTATAATGTTGTATTCCTTTTTCTCTCAATGATAAAATGCAGCTCGACCAAATCGATTAACCTCAAATTATAAACCTACAAATAATAATAATAATTTAGTTAATAATAAAACAAAAGTATCACAACTACTAAAAGGTAAACGAACTTCTAAATCTCAATCATTTAATTCTGATTCATATAATAATAATAATAATGATAATGACTTTTCTAAATCAGCCAATGAACAATCAAAATTATCAAGCAGTAATAGCGCACAAACAATTAATTCATTTACCGGTACGAATAAGTTCGAAAGGTATAGTTTTTTGTTTTTGTTATTACTGTTCATATTATTACGTAATAATTACTTAAGAATGTTTCAATTTTACTTCTGGTAAGCCTTATACAGAATAACTCGTCCGTGATGAGAATCGATAAATCATAGATATACACTTACTAATAATAACGTGTAATACCAAGAAACCATCCATTGTATTATTGAAGAAGAATAAAGGCATTTCAGCGTAGACATTATTTTCGACGATTTCATTTATTAAAGCTGCACAGTCGTATATACAGCTAATTTACCCACTAAAAATAGTAGTCTATAGTAAAATAGGATGTGTAATTTTGGTAATTTGAATTGATATCGTGTCATAATTTTTTTTAATGAAAATCTAATATTAAAAGAAAGTTATTATGTTATGTTATTATCAATCGTTCATAGAATATCTTCGCCTCAACATATTTGACCAACCTTTGAATTATTACATTATTTTCGGTCGTTTTTAACGATTTCTGGACATCTTAAAAAAGTGATGTAGGTGTTATAATCTCAGATTTAAATACCGTTCCACCTACTTTAGTTTGGACAGACGCTTAGTATCGTTAGTTTTCAAACAAATGTAAAGTTAAGTCAGTACATAAACTTCTTTTCAGTAATTGAGTAGTTACCATCATGATAATGTCGTTCAGAAGAACGATGAAAGCTCCACGACCAAACCATCCAGCTCAGAGAACAAAACTCCACCAAAATCATCCACCTGAGCTACAAATCCTCTCCACCATCTCAAGATTCATATTTGTTTAAATAAAACTGGGGTTCTGTAAAAGAAAAAAAACTTTGTCCTCGAACATCAAACTACTGATTGACTCCTTTTTTATTCTACTAATGTAAAAAGTATTCAAAAGATTATACTCTAAGTAACGAGAGTAAATCATTGTGTCATTAAAGAAAAAAAAGCGATTCAGCGAAGAAAATTTTCTTTGCGACTAAATCGTTTACTTAAGCTTCACAATTGTATTTGTAGTGATTCAGTAAATGTATGAACCTATAAAATTCTAAAAAGAAATTACATCATAACGTGTCCTGAGATTTCGAGTATCAGAAAATAAAGAATTTTAACAACTCAAAATAACTATTGTAACATGCTATTGTCAATATCAATACAAAGTTAGTAACTAAACTATTTCACAACTTCTTGATCTCGTAAGAAATAAAGGCTCAATCCTGAGTCGTCTAGATAAAGCTTCTGGTATTACATTCATAAATCTCCATAACTACATCATAAAACTGCCCTCGAAACTATCAGATATCGACTAGTATTTTAAAGAAATTCCCCAAAAAGATGCAACGAAATAATTGGCGTATACCTCAATCCGGTTTCTATGGAAATTGACCTGTCCCCTTTATTCATAAAGAGGACTTGTTCATTTTTCCATATCCTTCTTATTTGATCGATTTCTGTTCTGTTGTTAATGTGACGGCTTGGATGGCTATGCTATTTTTCTTTATTGTAATCAATAATAAATCAACATAAAGTGTTCATTATTCATATATTTTTCGTTAACAGTAGATCTGTCCAAGATGGAAGTAGTATGAAATCACGTATTCCCATACCGAGTGAGCTACATGAATACTTTTCTTTTTTTGTTAAGAATTAATAACAATTTATATTTAATATCTACTCTTTACATAATATAGAGTAGTAGCTTAGCAGCTAGAGTGTTTAACCTTCAACCATTAAATCATAATCTTGGGTTTCGTTCTATCTACTGGTTCTGGTGAACGGATAAAATCTTCAGCTTTCAAAAACGGACAGATCAAAGTCGAGTACATAAATGTGTACTTGTTTATCAAGTTGCATTATATTTATTACATTTTCGTTCCAACAATGTGATAGCTTGGACTAGTACCATGGCCAACGTGGTTTATGATTGATAAATGATGGCAAGATTTATTTCTCTGGTTCCCACTACTTATTACCCAACTAAGTGTAGCTAACATTTCACACATTGTTTATTCTATTTTAGTAAATCCTCCGAGTAATCCACTCATCAATAGAATTTAAATAAAATTACTCGCATGCCTAATATACTGTTAAATTGATTTTTTATCCAGAACCTCGTGTGTTCCAGATTTCAGTACACTTGAATGAAAGCTTTAGCTTTGTTATCATATCTTGTTTAGCCAGTCAAAGCACTGCCATTAGGACTGAGCTCATTTGGTTACGGGAATTACAGTTTTCCTAGTTTTGTTTAAAATTAACTAACATATAATGTATAGTTCTGGGTCCAAATTTGAGGTTAAATAAGATGCTAAACATTCTTAAGTGCGCTAAATTGTATTTATATTTATTATGTACGACTTTTTTGTTTCTGAAAATGGCATCGTCAATGTTCTCCAAAATAAACTAAAAATATTATATCCTCATTCTCTCTGCTGCGTTCTTAACTCATCAATAGATTCGCACTCAATCTGTTTATAGAGTTCCATGCTATGTCAACTATGGATCAGAAGACAGTTCAATACGAAGGTTTATTCAGTTTGCTCCCCAAGGTTTCTCCATGTTCGTCTGTAGAAACTGATTCTCAAAATGCATATGATTCACCATGAAAATTCACATATCCCACTGCAGGTATTAAGCATTACATTTTATCCTGTAATGGAATGCGCAGACTTGATCTAACATATCATCATACATAGGCTCCATAGAGAGATTGAACAATAATATCAAGATTGAATGTTGACAGCTGTCACTTTTTTTTTAATAAAGTCAGCTTTTATGTACTAATTACTCTTTTTTTAAAATATAGTGTCTTGTATTTCTTTTTCAATAAAATAAATCTGTAAATCGTTTCAAGTATCTACAGCCTACAGTATATCGTCAACTTCAATGCCAAAACATCAAGTTTCAACTATCAACACTGAGTCTCCAAATAATACTACATTTCTTAATCATGAAAATCCTTATGGGCCTGCGGATCTTATTCGTACGTATGATGTATTGATTCCGAATGATGCAAATATATTATTGCCTGTCAGTCATGAACCTGGTGTTGTTGAGAATACTAGAAAATCAGAAGGCAAAGTAAAGTCGCTCTTAATTATGTATATATATATATATATATATATATATATATATATATATATATATATATATATATATATGTCTGACTATATATAGTTTTAGGCCGACTTTCATTTCTGTAAGGTTTTGCCTCAGTCTAATAAACTAGTGTGATTAATGTGAAATTATGTATATACTTATTTCGTCAATTGAACTCCTTGTTTCATGTTGAATTCATATTACAATCATGATAATTTTAGTGTTACAAGTTTAAGTGTTATTACTCATACTATTAAAAAATTTAATGTATTTATTCTGTAGTTTAAATTTACACAATATGACATAACATATCAATTAATCTTTTCCTAAGGAAGATTGAGGATATGTTATATTCAAGTTATTTGCATACAGCATATTCATGTAACTTACTCGGTATCTTAAAATTGTTTATTTTTATCTGTTTCATTTAAATATAGGATACACATCATAAGCAAATACTGTGCTCTCTAATCAATCTTTTTAACCTCTCAACTCAACAATATATTTATATCTATACCTGTTTATTTGAGCTTCTCAGTAAACTCTTAGACTAATAGACATAAGGAGTGTTAGTTGGGCTTTCTTAGCATTTGACACGTCCATGTGATTAATAACTATTTTCATTACATAAACTTTCTTTAATATCTGACTGTTAAGTATATTTCTTGTCTATCATATCGATAACACATAAAAATACCCTAACACAGACATTATACTAGATAGTTATTACTCATGTATAATAAAGTCTGCTCCATTTACTTTAAGGATCCTTTTTCATAAACCAGCAAACATAATTCTTTTTTACTCATTCAACTTTCCATTCCTGGTTATTACTAAATTTAACGAGTGAAAAAGATTTTAATTTAAATGCCACCAAAATTGTTTTGATAGTGAAGTTAGGCTTATGACATAATTATCGGTAGTTTAAAATATGTTTGTCTAAATAAATCTTATATTTCTTATCTGTCCTGTTAGAACTTAATCGCGTCTTAGTATAAGTCTACTTAAAGTGAATTGTTTCTAGATGATAAACCGGTGTATGATCAGTTCAAAAATAACGAAATACTTCTTTGTGATAATTGCCCTGACAGATTTCAAGCTCCATATTATCAGCTTAATATAAATAAACAAATCTCGAAAGTAGTCAGAAGACTGTTCTGACTACTCATTATACATATATGCCTGGCGAGACGGCGTTGAGCGTAGCAGTCATCGTCGACAGGGAGATGATGTGGGATGCTCCAGATGCTGGGCGCAAATCGGATGTAAATGGCTCAGTGGGTCTCTGGAGAGCAGGTGTTTGACGTCCAGGGTGCTGCGTAGGCATCGGATTTAGATGGGTGGCAGGTCGACAGAGCTGCTGGTTCTGCTCATCGGTGGACTTAACATTTCAACGGAGTAGCGTAGCACAGACTAACACAGAAAGAAAGAATAATTACAGGAGTGACCGTTTAAATAGGGGACGAGTGTAACGTATACTACTTATGCTTACATATATAAGTAGTGTGTAGCAGCAGTCGGAAGTGGAATACCTGCCAGTAGAAGACTGAAAAGATTGAATTGGAGAGAACAGAAGGCGAAACAAATAGCAATTATATTAACAATAGAACTGTAAGAATCATGTAGTATATAAAGGGCAACTGAAGGAAGATGTGCTATAATGTATTTAGTGTATGGTTTTCATATTCTAACAAATCCACCGGACATCGTAGCAGCACATACATACTCTCCTATAGATCTCACTCCAACAACGATCAAATAAATCAGGATGGCTATCAGATAAATCAAGTGTTGGAAAGCAGTAGGGCATGACAGTATACCAGCTGAAGCACTAAACTCCGACGTAGAAGCAGCTGCAAACATTCTCCACGTTCTATTCAAGAAGATTTAGGGGGGGGGGAGAACAAGTCCCGACAGACTGGAAAGAAGGATATCTCATCAAGACACCAAAGAAAGTAAATCTGAGCAGGTGTGAGAACCACAGACGCACCACACTACTATCTGTGCTAGGAAAATTTTTCAACAGAGTTTTGCTGAACCGGATGAAAGATTCGGTAAACGACCAGTTTCGAGATCAACATATCGGATTCCGTAAGGATCAATCGTGCACAGACTAAATTGTGACACTACGGATCATCGTTGAACAATCAATTGAATGGAACTCGTCACTATACATCAACTTCTTATGGGAAAGTATTTAATAGTGTAGATAGAACATTATGGGAACTTCGACAATATGCAGTGAGTAACTGTGAAAATCGTCAACATTATCCGGAGTTCATACGACGGACTACAGTGCAAAGTCGTGCATGGAGAACAGCTGACACACACATTCCAAGTGTAGACCGGAGACAGACAAGGCTGCCTACTCTCCCCATTTCTCTTTCTTTTGGTGGTTGACTGGATTATGAGGACCTAGATATCTGAGAGGAAGCACGGAGTGCAATGAACAGGTTAGACGCAATTAGACCATTTGGACCTGATAGGTGATTGGTCAATAGTATTACATCTCACAGTATTAAGTTTAATAAACATAAGCATCTTACAATTTCCCTGTGATGTGAGAGTTTGCTTATAATCGAGGAATAACCAATCAGAATAAGTCCCTGTAAAATATATTCAATGTGAATTATTAATTTGGATTATTATCTATCTCACTTCAGGATTCGCTTCGAAATTCGAATACAAAATATGAGCGTTCAATTACCCGACAAGATACTATTTTACAACAGTTATCAGAAATTCGTAAGGTAGGGTATTCATCCCATTGAAATGTTTTATTTTATATATCTTTACTTAAATGATGAGAATTTTCTTTATTGTTTGTATTGGTTTGTATTTTCCTGTTATTTATATTCAAAATTAAATTTGGTCAGTTTTTGTTGTAGTATTAGTTCATTGTCGAAGTGTTTCAATATTGTGCTTAGTTGGAGGTCCTATTTTTAGACAGTGATTAGCAGTGGGATCTGAGATTCATTTCCTCCTGTTTACAAATCATATCTACATCCCAGTTCTCTTCACTTCACAAACTAGAATTCTTTTCACAAGGCTACTGAATGTTGATATTCGGTAGCTACAGTTCAAAAGATGCCATATATATATATATATATATATATATATATAATAGACGTTAGGTACAAATTGTCTAATTAGTTGCATACGTTATCTCGGAAATTCGAATGAACTGATGATGTATAATACTTATAAAAAACATTTACAATATCTTAATGAGTAGAAACTTGAATTAATCTTATAATTATATTGTTATTTTGTTACTACTGAAAACATATCTTGTGTTCAATTTATTTGAAGTTATCAAATTCATCCTTGGTTGTTCTGCATAAAAAAGAGGATTTCACTTTCCCGTTATTGATTATGTTTATGATATGTTATATCATGTTAAAAGTTCAGATATTGAACTGAGTATCGTAGGTCTAGATATTACATCACGTTACAATAATCAGTTTTTTTGCGTAATTTAATAACACAAATCGATTGTATAGTGAAATACACTTAGGTTTAATTGTTTTAACAGAGACGGCTAATTTCTTATCCTCTTCCGGTGCCCGACTAATCCAAAGATGGGACTTCATTCAGAAAATTCCCTGTATAGTTTAAGGTTGATTAAATCAAGCCATCAGGTGCTGTGCATGAATAAATTTATAGTCCCTTATGACAGTACGGAAGATAGTTATTAGTTAGCAGTGGGTTCTTTCTGGCAAAACGGTTGTCATAAGAAATTTTGGTGAACAGAAGCGCAAATATACATTTACAGAAACGTTGTAACAAAATAGTAATTTCTAGAAGTCATTTGTCAGAATTTAAACATTCTCAGTAATTAAGCATCCCTCAACTTTGAACGACAACTAAACTGTCTAAGATAATATGTGAAAAACTGTCTCATACTTTTATTTTCATCGAATGAATAAACATTACTTTTACAGATATACCTAACTGATATAATCAATACTATGTATAAATAAATGAGTATATATTAAAATTTCCCCTCATTTTTTTCAGGGTTTACAATTACGTCAAATGTTGTGTGAATCAAGCACTTATGAAGATGATATTAATTATTAAATGGAAGATACAATACATGTGTTTTATTTGTACGGTGAATTCTACACGACAAAAGAAATACAACATATCATTTTACTAAGACTAAAAATGTCATAATCACTTTTCTATATTTCTATTTATGTATTATGTAGATTTTCTGTGATGACTTGTATCATTATTTTTTTGGAAATTTTTTCTCATGAGGAGCACAGTGGCAGAAATAACTCTATCATCAACATATCATCAGTATGATTAATGCCATTGACATTTAATTGTTCTATAGAGTTGTTTATTCATTTTCATATATTACTTTCTTCTAGTGTAAATTGTCATTTTTGAAACAGTCGACTGGTACTTGCATTTATCAACTTATCACTGTTAGTTGTTTCAACATTGAAAGTATTACTATCCGCGGTATACAGGACGTCAGGATTATTACTAATACTAAAATATTCTTTCATTTAGTTTTTTTTCCACTTTTGTTTAAATAATGTAGTTTGATTCCATGCATTTCATGTTTAGGATTTTGAACGGTGTTATATATTTTGAAAATATATGTAATAAATTTATTGACAAGAATATTTTCTCAATTTTATCGTCTGTGTATGCTCATGCTCTGAATTTTTTTTATTTATTTACGATTAATTACCAAAGGTTTAAAACTGTCGATAATCTGATTATGCAACCAGTCGTACTGACAAAGTTGCTATGTCAGTGACAAATTATTTGCTAGGTGATTAGTTTTAATTAATCTGCTTGTTTGGAATGTCAGATAGATAAAATATTTGACTATCATGCGGTTTATAGTTTACAGTTTGAGGTTGTATCAATTTAGTTGGGTGTCTTTTGTGTCTGTTTTCTTATATAAATTGAATCTATTAGTTTGGAGAGAAAATGTAAGGGAGTTTAGATTCAGATATAATTCTCTGACAACTTGTTACTTTTATTTTTTTAAAAGTTAACAGACTAACGAAGAGAAACCCAAGTGACTTCATTCATAATTTAACGTATTTCATTTAGCGTTCGGCGTATTTAACAGATATTTAAGAAACTGTCATTAGTCAGACAATTTCATTGATCTAACATGCGTTTGCGGTATCCTACTTCAGTGTATGTGAACTAAATATATCTGAACAATTGCTTATTTAACATCAACTTCTTTATATGTTCTCATTAATTCTTGTTTGTCGTGCATAATATTGATTAAATTAACAGTTATAACAATCTAATTATTAATATTACGAAATCACCAACCTGATGTGACTTCATACATTTATCTTCGAGCCACACTTTAAGTGTGGGGCTAGCGATAATATCCGATTATCTAAACCGGGGTAGGTGGAGTGATATTTGAACATGCAAATTACTAACTGAAAGTCGAACACCTTAACCAGTGAGTCATTACTCCACACTTCTTTCTTTTTCGAACAAATTTTTACATGTCTATCGTTTTGTACGAACTTATTTAAGTGTTTCGCTTTTGATTAGGTATCGATCATTACTAGATGATGACTTTTGGTTTATTTGCTGTGATTTTTCTTTAACATTCATTTTCCGTAGCTTCTTTTCCGTAATTACCTTTTTAGATCATATCTCTTGTTATGAATTAGGATACTGTATTGTTTTCCATACTAATAATAAATTGGATGGTGTATATTCATCGAATTTCGATATACAGATCTAACTACTTCATGAAGGTTAGTACATCAGTTAAATTGTTCGTATTTTAAGATACGTGTTAAAAACTCGTTAAAAATATATATATACAACTTTGTTAGTAGGTTAAGATGATATGTATTAACCATTTTCCTACTTATTAAACTATATTATTTGTTGTTGTACATCTCTTTAAGTTTTATTATTAAGCTAACTGGTTGAAATAGACCAAGATTTTGGTCTTTATATCAATAAGAAATTAGCCACTTACCGGGGTACAAATACACTCAACTAACAGCATATCTTTTGACAAAATGCTGCTTCTTAGTCTCCATTTTTATTAGTACTTAATATTATAACGTTATGCAATGTATGAGTGTGTTAAAATGTTCATTTAGAAACTGGTTCACTTTTTGTAAATATTTATTTTGCTTTCTTTATTGTTTAATCATACTAATTTGGTTAATCGTAGAGTTCGCGAGAGTAAAATGGTAATTTACTATCAGAAATCAACAATTATCACGCAGTCTCAAAAGCTGATTGAAACTGAAAATCTCAGTGATGTAAAACTATCGTGCTTGGAGTGAGACTCGATGTTAAAATCGTTCACTGACGATGAGTTACAAATTACAATGAAATATTTATCCATTGCTTTTTAGTTTTCAGTGTGTCTCTGACTGATATCATGTTTTGAAAAATGTTGTTTTGAACTCTACAATAAAATTTCGCACGACTTTTCTTAATAATTATATTATTATTACGCTTTATAGTAATTACTAAATTTATTAGCTCGTAAATCCCTCAAAAATCATATTGACCCCATGCCTATTGCTATTGATCTTTTATTGTAGACTTTTGATTATTTCCTCAAACGTTCTTAGATGAGATTGTTAGGCCATAGTTACTGTCATAATACAGTATATGTGTTACCACATGAATTTTTTCTTACTTTAAAAAAGACAAATTGTTTAAAAAATAAACTAGGTAGTTATTTTAATCAAATGGAAATCCTTAAAATACTCGTAATCTAAATTTAAAATAAAATAGTTATTCTTAGCATTTGTTACTATTGAACTCTTGTTGGAGTTATTCTTTAACTACAAATATGCGTGTTTACTTGATGCACTGAATATTGGACTAACGTTATATCACTACTTATTCAGTTAATTGCATTTTAATTCAAGGGAACTCAAAAGAAATTTCAAAAATAAGTAAAAGGCATAATGCTACTTCATTTTTACGTAAGTTATCGTTGTATGTATATCGGTGGATGTATTGACCTTGTGATATTAGTCTTTGTACCTCGTGATATTTATTCAAAAGTTCTTTTCAGTTAAGCTATTGTTTTAAATAAGTATATGTTATAACTACTAACTAAAATATTCTTCTTACAACTCATCTATTTTGTATTTAGTTTATACAAAGTCAAGTGAGAGAAATTAACGCATTCTTGTCGCGTCATTTGCGAGTTTACAGTTTATTCTCATGTGTTATATGGTTATTACTTATCGGTGCATTCTTGCGCACAACTTGGAATCTATCCTATATAATTTGGAATCAATCAAGTTATGATAATAATGCGAATTTAAACAATTATGATAAGCGTTGGAAACCAACTATTCATACTGTTTCACGGCTAACTGATGCAATGCTTAATTTATGGCCTGTGTATATTGCGAAAGGTATTTTGCCACCAAGTGATATAACTTTGGTAAGTTATTCTAATTTTCACAATGGGAATCTTTAATATTCTAAAATCGCGTGAGGACTCTGTTTCATTTAAGACACTCAATGAGTTTCTGAAGTTTACTTCACATCTCAAAAAAGCGGAAATGAGCTTAGAATTTGCTATTAATTGTATACAATCTTATAGATATCCTAAAATATATTGGAAGTCTTTACGTCTTAACAGAATCTATCCTAATGCAAAAACACTTGAAAGACATGCATCGAATCAAATTAATACTTTAAAAATAAATATCTGCGACAATATTCCGTTAAAAACCTGTCTTCAGAGCTTCAGTCAATGATTATAGGTTATGTGGAAATAATTTCCAAAATAGATCTGGGAAAACGTTGACGAAACTAATAAAAACTTTGGAAAACCAAAAGCCAGAAAGGAGTTTCCTTTCGACCCGAAACGGTACGTACATAATTTTTCCAATATTGAACTAGATGTAATTGTTGTGTCAGCTTTCTGAGAACTGCAGTGGAGCCTCCAGAGGCCCTAAAGGAGCTGAAGAGTCCTAGCCAATCAGAGCATGATGGAGTTTTATAGAATATCAACGTAGCGTGCTACTATTGGTCAGTAGCATAATATGTCTTTTAGCGGATTGGTCAAGATATGGTGTTGATTTAGCCAATGTTAACATCTATAAATACCCGTGTTTTTCTGTACAAAAATGAACCTTTGGATTTTTTACTTACTTGCTCCTGTTACTCCTCTTAAAGGAGAATAGACCGCTCACCAACATTCTCTGTTCAACCCTATCCTGGGCAATCCTTCCCAGCTCCTTCCAGTTGTTATTCATCCTTTTCATGTCTGCTTCTATTTCCCGACGTAATGTGTTCTTTGACCTTCCTCTTTTCCGCTTCCCTTCAGGATTCAAAGTTAGGGCTTGTCTCGTGATGCAGTTTGACGATTTGCGTAATGTATATCCTATCCATTTCCATCGTCTTTTCCTAATTTCCTCTTGAGCTGGAAGTTGGTTTGTTCTCTCCCACAGAAGGCTATTGCTGATGATATCCGGCCAATAAATGTTGAATATCTTGCGTAAACAGCTATTTATAAACACTTGCACCTTCTTGATGATGGTTGTTGTAGTTCTCCAAGTTTCAGCTCCGTACAGTGGAACTGACTGCCTTGAGATTCGTATTGAAGATTCTCACTTTGATATTGGTTGAAAGTTGTTTTGAGTTCCATATGTTCTTCAATTGTAGGAATGCGACCCTTGCTTTGCCAATCATTGACTTTACGTCTGCATCTGAACCTCCTTGTTCATCGATGATGCTTCCCAGGTATGTGAAGGATTCTACATCTTCCAGAGTTTCGCCATCAAGAGTGATTGAATTGCTGTTCCTCGTTTTGAATTTGAGGACCCTGGTTTTCCCCTTGTGTATGTTGAGGCCTACTGATGCTGTGACTGCTGCTACACTGGCTGTCTTTTTCCGCATTTGTTCATGTGTATGGGATAGGAGTTCTAGGTCATCTACGAAGTCCAAATCGTCTAATTGGTTCTGAGCTGTCCATTGTATGCCGTGTTTTCCCTCAGATGTCGAGGTCTTCATAATCCAGTCGACTACCAGAAGAAAGAGGAAGGGAGAGAGTAGACAGCCTTGTCTGACTCCGGTCCTTACTTGGAATGCGTATGTCAGCTGTCCTCCATGCACGAGCTTGCACTGTAGTCCGTCGTATGAATTCTGGTTAATATTGACAATCTTTTCAGGAACTCCGTAGTGTCGAAGAAGTTTCCATAACGTCCTCCCATCTACACTGTCAAATGCCTTTCATAAGCAATGAAGTTGATGTATAGTGACGAGTTCCACTCAATTGATTGTTCGACGATTATCCGTAGTGTTGCAATTTGGTCTGTGCATGACCGATCCTTACGGAATCTAGCTTGTTGATATCGAATTTTGGCGTCTACTGCGTGTTTCATCCAGTTCAGCAACACTCGGTTGAAGACTTTCCCTGGTATTGACAGTAGCGTGATGCCTCTGTAGTTTTCACATTTGTTCAGACCTCCTTTCTTTGTAATCTTGATGAGGTGTTCTTATTTGCAGTCCATCGGCACTTGTTCCTCCTCCCAAATCTTTTTGAATAGAAGGTGAAGTATGTTTGTAGTGATTTTGATGTCTGACTTCAGTGCTTCAGCTGGTATATTGTCGGGTCCTGCTGCTTCCCAGCTCTTGAACCTTTGGAGTAAAGTGCTTTTCGCTTATTTCGCACCTTTGCTCTCGAGTTCTAGCATGCGGGTAACCAGAATGGCTTAGGAACCGAATAAAGCGTTCAAATTAACAAGACGTATCAGTAATACAGCTAGAAGCTTTATCTCTGGGGCCTGGATTATGTGATAGTAGGCATAAAATCAACCAATTAGATACTGATGTACAATTTGAGAATTTATTTTCACAAACAACTGACTTGATTCCTACTTCATCGGAGGATCTTGCTCGGTTTAAGACCACATTAGTTGATAGCTGCCAACTATACAAGAATAGAAAATGGACCTCTCAATAAGACAGACCATTAAGAAGCTTGATTTATATTGCCGCTACATTGACGACACTTTCATTATCGTAGGTCAAAACATCAGTCAAGATAAACTCCTAGAACAATTCAACGGTGTTCACCCAGCGATCAATTTCACTAGTGAAAGCGAGAATGACAAAGTAAACTGCATAAATTTGTATTTGGTTAATGAGTTATTATTATTAATACTTCATGGATCTTTTTATCCTGTTCTGTGTAGATCATTTTCGATCGAAGTTACTTAAATCTTGAAAAAGTGCCACATATTTATTCTATTGTTGGTTTTCATACCCCATACATAGTCATAAATTCATCAAATGTAGAGAGTGATATAATAGATTTTTTGAGACATTACGTAAATTTTATGACTAGTCAGTATTGGCTGTGTGGCAAATATGTATAACATGTAATCCTAGTTCTATCTTATATTGCCTCTTAATGCCACAGTAAGGCTGAGGGTGGGGAGAGTTCTCTACCTCTCGAAATGTTTTCATATGGATACGTGTATATAGACACTACCAGAGAAGTTCGACTAACTGTCTTCTCGCGAAAAAGTTGGTGTTTATGAAATTGAGATGACGAAAAGTGAATGTCTAGCGCTTAAACCGGGTTAATGTGTACCGTTGATTTACCCTAGGAAAGTTGGAAAACCCTGATTCCAAACCAACGGTGCATATGGGCTCCAGGATCGAAAGAACGAATGGCGTATGAACCAATCGTTGGTCATCGGCTACCATGGGACTGCATCTTCTGACGTTGCTCCACTGTCTTGTGGATCAGATCTTTAGTCGAAGGTCATTGGTGTGGCTCCCTAAGGAAACCACCTGCTTCGGTTTGGGCACCCGAGCAGTATCATAGCCCACACACAAATCAAGTGACTTGTGTGGCTCATATGTATTCGGTGCCTCTTTGTATCAATATTTATGTGTTCAAATAAATGTTTTGCTAACCTACTGGGTTAAAAACATTTGGTTAGTATTTTCCAAATCATTTTCTCCATAATCTTATATTTACTCATTAAGTCATGCGACGATGATTACCACTAGGTGGTTTGAAACGAAATTCTCCATTTCTTATGTGTTTATGTAATTTCTTTTGTCTGATAGTAAATTTTACAATACAATTTATTCATTAAATCTGCTAAATATTTTATCAGTTATGCTCTGTTATTTTCTTTTCACCATTTTCATAGATTAGTTTCAGTAGTCAGTCACCGTTTCCGTTTGATAGTCAGTTAAATTCTGTAACAGAGTTCGATAAACGAGAACAACACCGAGTATTATTAACTAATATATTTCATGGTAAGTTTATATATGAGTGTTAAAATTCAGTAGTTATAATCTATCACGGGTTCTTTTTGTATTTGTACTTTGTATTCAAATTCGAAAATATTTCTTTCTAAGTTAGATAAAAATTGTTTTTCACGTCCCACATTACTATTCATAACTCTATTGTTATCAATTTAAACAAGTTTTAATCACTTTAATCCGAAGAAGCCGATTCCATGCTTTTTTCTCTGTATCTAATTGACAGTTTATTGAAGTTAATAAGTATATCTTCTCACGTGTTTTAGTTATTGCTTATGTTAAATTTATTATATACAGTACTGTTCTACCTGGACTTACAGTGAGTTGTAGCGAATTCTTTTCAGTAACACATTGTTTCTCTTCATAAACGTATTGACTTATCGGTTTTATTATTTCACTTATTCAGTACGTATGCCATCAATCATTTTGTGCTGAACTATGAACTATAGAAAATCGAGTTTAGTACAGTTTCATGTATCTGTCTCACATTACATCTAACCTCAATGTTAATTTTCAATATATATATGGCTGTGAGCAGCTGATCAAAAACCGTGAAATATGATGAATTCATATTACTCTGCCTCAATGTTTGTTCTGGATGTATTTAGTACATTTCCTTTCGTTTAAATAGATTTTTTTGTTAGCTTTCACGTATTATATGTAATAATCTATGAGGACGGCCTACAGGTGAACTTGAGGAAGCTCTAAGAAGCTCAGAAAGAGCCGAAGATATCTCGTCCAATCATCTTTTGGAAGAATATTCCGGGATCCCTACGTGTAGCTTCCCTATCGGACAAATGCTAATAACCCCCTGTATGCGGATGATAACGATAATTTCGTTTTTACTAAAAACTATAAATACCTGACGATTTTGTACCATAATTGATACTATTTGGAATAGCATTCCTTTCACTTGTCTTCTGTCTTCTCATTCGCGGATTGGTGGGTTCTATTGTTCGAGTGCTCAAGAATCTAAGTTCTAGATATAACATAATCGAATCAATACATGAACATATATCGGCTTAATACTCTATATATAATAAGTCTATAATTACTCAGTAATAATGTTTTGTGATGCAGGTTAAGAAGGGATTAACGATAATTAATACAATCAAGTTAATATGATTTAACGCCAGTTCAAGGTTCTCCAATATGAATCATTTATTTCAAGCATACTGGGTTTATATATCAACCAGGCAGACCACAACGTACCATAAAATATGAAACAACATTTGTACAAGAATTAGCCAAATGCGGCTGTGAATGAGGGAGATAGTAATTAATAGACAGGCCATAACTCAATAATGGTAAATCATATAGTAATAGTCTATGGGTCGAATTAAAGCTTATAATAAGAGCTACATGAATGTGAACAGTTTAGTTACATAACAATTATACGATGAAAATATACTCATAGTCTTAGTCCATAATGGATCCCGAAAATTACCATTAATTATTCTTATCGGAATATAACAGGAAGATGGTCGTGTATTGATTGAAGTTGGACATTAATACCGTTTGATGCCAACTCATTGATCTAGGGGTTAGGCGTTCACGTGCGATACGGAAGGTTCTCCGTGCAGGATCATGGGTGTGCACTTCTGAGTGGTCCTATATTAGGACAAAACTCCCGTCCTGTGCTTCCAAATTTTCAGTGGTGTTCTTACTTGGTTCTGCTCATGATTTCAATGAAACCTATCAATGCTAAAATCTCAAGTCTGTCAACCTTTATATTCTCTTTCTGAAGTTCCTTGTTGACAACAAAATGAAAATATCTTCGTTTGTTTGCGTGTTTCAGTGTCTTTGTGATGCATATGTCTGTGCCTTATAATTAACGTATCTCAATCATTATCCACCATCAGTCTACAAGGGTGAAAATGATCATATCTATACTTAAGAAACTGTTAAATCATTTTGTTTAGTGTTTGGATTAATACATTCTCACTGAATACTTGTAAAACAAGTTTACTTTACAAAATGTTTAAAACAAAACAAGCAACATTTCGTTTCATACCTCTTCGTTTTTAGTTACGATATTTTTATTCCTCTCCATTATATCTGTCATTACGTTTTTGATGGCTTCCGATTTTTATCGTATTTTGTGCCTTATTGCTAATTATCTTAATTTATTTTTGTCACTTTTGCCACTCATTTATCTTAGTATTTCCATTTGGGTTTTCTTTCTACTCTTTACTTTTGTATTAAATCTTAATAATTAAGAGCTGATTATTCTTATTGATGTGTGGTAGTGGAAGTAAGATATAAATGGGCACTGAGCTTGGAGAAACAGCCACTTAGCCTACGGACTATCAAATTTGTGATTCGCTTTCCTTTCATTGATTTTTACTCCAGACGCACTGAGAGGAACTGCTTTTAATTGTATTAAAGAAAGTATTATCTGGTGTTAATCTGGTTCTCTATTCTAGGTCATGAATCCTGGTTCTGATATAATGTGACTAGTTTTATTATCACATTAATGTTTTATCATAATATACTTGAGACTGAGATAAAATACTTTAAACACTCGTTATATCACTTGCTTTATATACAAATGATACAGACAGTTTAATGGCTACATAAATTGTTTTATCGGTCGTAACTATGGTTATATTGCGTGCTATTTCCTTAGTCGAATAATGCCAAGTTGTCAATAAATTTATTATTGTCAAACAACTAGAATATTGATGCTTATTTGTAATCTGCTGGACATATTCAAGAAGAATAAAGTGAAAATACCTGTATGATAGCATCTATGATTATGTCATTTAAAACTCTTGTGTGATTTACTAAATCTGTTGACTTTCTATTATTATCCTCTGCAGATAGTAGTCTATAATAATATACAAGACCAGTGTGATCACTGAAAAGGTTATAAAACTTTAAGTATCAAATAGAAAACTATTAAATAGTTTGTATTGGATGCCTAAAAATATGACAACTTTGCTATTTACGCAATATCTTTGTACTTTATTGTCAAATCGGTTGATGAAGTAGTAAATCTTCATTAACTGAGGTGGTTGGGACATGTGTTAGGTATGCCCGACCACCGATCATCTCGATGAATGATGTTGTGTGGTGCAAGAGTATGCCAAGGCAGAACATGGAATCGATCCACAAAGTCAGTGACCATTAAGTTTAGTCATTTTAATAGATATGAACTACCTGGTTTAGGCACAGTTGATTATCGTGACCAATAGTTAGAGACTTTGGATGACATGGTTCAAATTCGTTTGCTGTGGTACAGGTGCATCCCTTCCCAATATTCTGAGCTTTTGAATCCCTGGTAATTTTCTTTTATTTCACTAATTTATATTTTCTTGAATCGTATCTTCAATTCCTAATGTTTTTTTGTTACCACTCATACTATGACTACCTCTACCATTCTGGGATTCGCTCCAATAATTCCACCTCTCTTTGCTATTGGATTATGAAAACTGAAGTTGATGTACATACGTACCATTTTCTATTCTCTGACTGACATTATTGTCAACTATTATGTTTAAAAAATAATTGTAAATACGACAGTAAAGATTCTGTAACAAAAAAGAAAGTCTTCACTGAAGTGCTCAGTTCGGGAAATTACAATGTCACCTAGGACCGGTGAACAGAACGAAAGTCAGCAACATTGTACCAAGAAAAGCTGAAGTATTCCACTGCACCCCAGTCCTACTAACGGAAAGGAATAGACTAGGTTCAGCTAGTAAATATATGATTTCACGAGCAACCCGGAAGAACGAACAAACAACAAGCACACACTTGTGTGTATAAATACACTACGAAATTCATATTTCCATAATAAAATTACAAAAATGAATTTACCAAATGATTTCTGGGGATCTTGCATTCCCAATATAAACTATCTTCATGTTTTAACAATATAATCATAACTATTGCTTAAAAAGTATTCTATTCAACTTTATTCCTCGTGAATTTTGCCAATAATGATAAATTCGCATTATTTAATCAATGAAGCTCGATAAATCCAACTGCTCACAGTATCACTATGGTTACGACCTATCAAACACTATATGTAATCACCAAAATATGTGCGCATATTAGTTGTATACGAAGTGAAGCAAGATTAATTAGTTCTTTTTGATGAAGATTGGGAGTAACAAATGGCGGTAAATTTTCTTGTTTACAATTGTAGGTTTAAACAATACAATAACTTTAAATCTCAGATTATACAGTGGAACGTGATTTTGTTCCCAAATTTTATCAATGATTGTCGATATTTCAACTTGATTTGTATTTTTTCCAGTATTTTCTTGTGGTTGTTTAGTTTTTTATAGAAATGATTCAAATCCAATTTTAATATTATTATTATTATTATTATAGAATGATTGCTTCCGTTGTTGTTAATTTGTTTATTTTAGGCTTGATCACCCGATTAATATGGATTTATCCATCCTGGAAACAATCATCTTTCAATCAATTTTATAAGAAATCACAATTTCATGTTGGTTTAGCTCGGATCAACTTACTGGAAGATGATAATAATAATAATACTAATAGTAATAATGACTTGAAATCTAATTTTCCATCAAGGATTACAACTTTTTGTTTATGTAATCCGGCTGGAAACTTTTGTAGTTTACCTTTGTTATCCTCAGTATGTTATTCACGTGTATAGAATTAAATTTCTTGTGGCAAGTTTTTATTCGGCATAGGTTATTATTTGCCTATATTCTCTAGTTGCTCCATAATTCTTATAATTCTCTGATTTATTTAATTTAGTGTTTCAATGTATTTCTCATGGTATGTCCAATCACTCCTGAACAAAATGGTACAGACTGTCGATTATTACTTGAAGCAGTTCGTAGTTAATAAACAGCGTTTTTCTTTACCTATCAATGCGTGTGATATGTTCTCGTCTAGTATATTCCAATCTTACACTGTATTGAGTGGTTAAAAACAGTAATCTTGAGGGGACTTGTAATCCATCTGAGCTTTGAACACGCGTCACCAATCTTGATAGTTTGAGACGTATCCAATGGACTGTACAGACCGTAACTGACTTCTTGTATGTCTGAGACACGTTAACTGATCAATGAGTTGTGACCAATGTCACGTTTGTCTAGCCCTTAGTACTTATTGAATCCTATTAATCGAGCTACGTGTGGCCACTAGTCCAAGTGGCTCGATATCTCGTGCACTACGCCCAGATTACAGCTCAAATGATATAATTCGATCCGTACTAGTTGGTAAATAAACACAACATTGGACACTACGCAGTGGTCGATCAATCCTATATTAATTCAATTCTATAGAAATTTATTGCGAAACATTATTCTATAAATGATCGCTAAATGAGAATAACCTATGATGTTATTATCATTAGATGAAGTTTGTCATTCATAAATTCAAATTTCAGTCATTATCTCCTTTAAATGTAATTATATATACATTTGGTTTCGCTAGATTTCAAATCGGCGATCACATTTATATACTATTAATGTTTATTTTGGAATATCCACAACAATGTCAGACTTTTCACTTAGTAAATTTATCTCCTTGTTACTTGTGCGAATCGGTACTTAGTTATTGAATTACATATTTCTCATTGTAACCCTATATTTTTCGTGTTACAAGTGGTGCTGTCAATTGGTGATGATAATATTTTCTTTTACAATAATATATTATTTAAAACTTGAAGTATCGCAAATAGTGCATTTTGTAACCCCTTAGAAATGCACTTCATATACTTGTAATAGAATTAAACCTACAAGTTCATTGTAAGTAAGTGACTTTCCACGTGATAAGTCACTCAAATGTTAAGTAGGAAGTCGTGACTTTTAGAGTCAATTACAATTAAAACGTTTATTAGTAGCTCAAATATAAAACTGAATGCTAGTCGCGCCATCTCGAAATGTATCAAGTTATAAAATGTAATCACTTGAATGTATGATCAGTTTTCGCATGGTTTTGGACCCACCGTGATACCAGAAGGTTATGTGTTTGGTTTCGTACTCAATAGAGTAAATATTTAGTTTTTAAGTTCCCACTCCCTATCTTTCTGTTATCAAAACATGATGGAAATTAGCTTCTAGCAACTAATTTTTATCACTTAGTGAGTTTAGATTTAGTCCGGTATGAAAAAATACTCTATTAAGTATTATGTGACATGGTCCGTTCACTTTTTTTCAGTCAAAAATTCATATACCAAGACAATCTTGTTCAGTGGCTAGCAGTTTTATATATGAAGAAATTATTGATGTAATGGCCGAATCAATTTTATCCCAAGATGAAAATGAACGTTTGACGAAGGATTTAATTTACTTGTTTTCACGTGAATCGTATTTTCAATCAGACAAGTCAACACTTTCTAAAACATCATCATCACCATCTCATACTTCGTTATTTCGTAATAAACGTACTGTGTGGATTAATAGTCTATTCATATTACACATAGATATGAATTATTTTTTTGAATCTATTACAAAAGTAAATAACACGTCATCTGATTTGTCTGAATGGTTTACTGATTATATTCGTATGAATTCATTAAATGACAGTAATGTTGATTTCAGCGCATATGAACCTCAAGTGGAAAGTGCTTACTTAACTTCACATAAGAACGATAAATATATTGCTGATAATAAAGATAATAACAGTAATGACAATCACATTCCAGTTATACCAGCTTCAATAATTCATCAGGTTCGTTTTACTCGTAATCAGAAATTTGAAAAATGCTTAACTTTTGGATTATGTTGTCTTTTGTTCAGAAAAAACGTGTAAATCATCTGACAAATAAAGGTTTAAGCACTCAACTCTTATCCACATTGTCTATGTTCGGGCTAGTGATACTACTTAAGCAGTCAAACTGAAGACAGTGAAGTTCTATAGAAGCCGATGTCTTTAGATATTAAGTTATTGGTCCATACGTTGCATAATCAAGGTTCAGACGCAATGTCAATGCATGCAACAAGTTTTCTCAAATCTTATTCTTATTATCGAACCAAATCGATCACTTTATTGTTGCTTATACAGAAATTGTTTGTGGTACTGATATATTTAGTCTAATTAACTGTTGTTTCTATTGTTAATCCATAAATCAGGGGGTTGAAACTTACATCTGATGGGCTTCAGATATGGATGATGATCATAACGGGTTCAATATACGAATAATCATCATGAAAAATATTCATATTGTGTTTATAGTAGTGACCTATCTTTTTCGATACCTCTTTAGAATAATACCATGAATATTTTTTACTTAGGACGAATTAGTACCGGCCTACTTGAACATCTGAGCTAACTGTTCATGCCATCTAGATTTTTCAACAAATTATCTAATTTTGTTTGTTTTAATACATCATTATGGCTCTTAATTGTATAGCCGATTCAGGTGCATTTCTGAAAAGTGTACACCCTTTCATTGTACAAGTTACAAAAGGCCCAACCAGTTGTATCGTGGTTGCTGGCAATATGCAGCGAAAATAATGTACATTGGCCAATATGACCGAGAATTGGTCGCTATTGAGCAGATGAATTTTCTCTCTGTTTTACACCTAAATCTTATGTTTCAGTATTCCTTCATGCATACTTTCTTTTCGAACCATAGTCTCAGTTTTCAAACCCTCTCATTATCACTGACACTAACATTATCCTGACTATTTTGCTATCAATTTAAGTAAGTTATTTTCATCCTGATATGGTATGGTATCCATAATAGATGCCCATTTCTACCAGACCTTATTTTGATTAGTGGGGGAGTTGATATTACATAATTACGCAAAATAATTTTAATAAATTGAACGTGTTAGATAAAATAGGTACTTTTATAATGGATAAAAATATGTGACTCGACCATTCTTGCCATGTCGTAGCTAGTTTAAAAACTACTTTCCTTCTGTACACAAAGGTTATAAAGGTATTACTTGATGTAAATGATCTTTCCAAAGTGCAGTAAAAGTAACGCTGTTGTTTGTTATAGTTATTTCGAGTGCTTCAAAAACATTCACTTTAACTTCAATGAGAAAAAATTACAATCCTAAAAGCAATTAATTATTATTTTTCTTGTTTACATTGCAGTACACTATATTATTAAAGGATGTGTATAATAAATTATCATATTTATCATTAACTGAACAAAATCATTTAATTAATGATATCAATCAATTCATTAATTCAATGCTTCATTTTATAACTACACATGATCCGAATCTGTTATCATACTGGTCAAATCAATCATTGATATCTAGTACATCTTGTTGTTATTTAAAGCCTTCTATTGAATTAATTTCATTGAATTCAAATGAGAATATATATGTTTTTAACCAATGGAAAACTAGATATCAGATAGCATTTTATTATCTTGATAATTATTGTTCATATTCGGATGCAATGATTAATGTTTTATTAAATAAACCGACAGTAAGTGGTAGTCTATTTTTATTCTTAAGATGAAATTCAGTTTCTGTTATAGTGAAATAATTGCCCTGCATTTTTTGTTTAGCTTAGTAGCTCAGTTATTTTCGTTGAAGTATTTAACTGTGAGATCCGGAGTTTGAATTTTTGTGCATTTACTGTAGTTTTGAGTAAACAGTTTGTATTAATCGGTTTTATATAATGTCTGTACATGACATGTATGACAAGTATAACCAACAAATTAAATAAACCTCTACAAAAGTTTCTACTAAACTTTAATAGTCCCTAATATTCTAGTGAGAATTTGTTACTGGTAGCGTTTGGTTTGTGAAACAGTTCCCATCCATGGGGTTGATCAAAAATTAATTGAAGCTGAAATTACCATTGGAAGGCGTTCGCCACAAACCGGAATGCCTTGAGTTCGATTTCTGTCGGTTTCTAGTTGTTCACTTCCAAAGAGTTCAATGCTAGGACGAAACCGACATTTATTGCTTTTTAGATTTTGGTTGTATTTCAACTGAGATACATAAGAAATTTATTTTGAAAGAATACATGAACTGATTAGGATATCCACTTTTATAGCTTACACCTCTTCAGTACAAAATAAATTTGGTTAGATTTCTCAACCAAAGAACCAAACTATTATGTTCTTAGGATAGTGTAGATGGGGAAAAAGGTAAACTAAAGAATACATTACGAAATGACGGCTATTCAGATAATTTTGTCAAATGTATCTATCAGGACGGACAAAAAGAACAAATTCCGACATGATCAGCAAGACGACCTTTTACTTAAAACTTGACTTTATAAGGAGACACAGCGAGTGACATTGACTCAAAAGATCCGTTGGAAGGACAGTTCACACCGTGAATTTGCATGTAATTTCCTCAATTAAACCAGTACTTACACAACAAATCAATGATAGGTTACTGATGATGGACTCCTCTATGCGTGTTCATTATGTTAACTGCTCCTTTGGTGCTGGTTACATAGGCCGTATTCAGAGGGTTTTGTCCTTGCGTACTCATGAACTCCAGGAAACCTAACTTATGTATCCAAAAGAAGTATGTTTGGCCTCTGTGTTTAACTTGGTGCAGGACTAGAACACGATATAAATAAACTGGATATTATGAATCCCTTACTCCCTTCAGTTCCTCTTGTGTTAATATATTTCTTAATCTATACATCTATCTTAACTCGCATGAATGTCTTAGCATAATTACTTATACAGCACCTCTCTTTTTACATATTCTATTCACATGAAGTTATTATTATTATTGTTTCCATAAACGAAACAAAACTCTTGCATTGATTTCATTCACACGATCTATTTCATTACTATTATGATCATAACTTGACATATTATAACGAATTTTTATGGTCTTTGGTAAGTGACCTTTCTAATTTTATTTATGATCTTTATTATTTAACGAAAACCCTCACAGTTTCGGAACAGTCAGTGGTTTAGTGGTTAAGCATTCGAGTACGAAACTGAAGGTCCTGGGTCTGATTCTCGTATGCGGGTTAGTGAATACGCAATGCTGAGCAGTTCTCTACTAGGACGAAACGCCCGTCTAGTACTTCATTGTTTTCAATGATGTTCTTATGTTAGATCTATTCGTGATTTCAGTAATGCTTAACAATCTCCAGAACCCACATAGGCTCCAGTATCCTGAAGGAACAAATAGCGTACGAACCAATTGTTGGTCATCGGTCACCATGGGACTGCATCTCCTCACGATGCTCCACTGCCTTGTGGGTTAGACCTTTAGGTCACAGGGTCGGGGTGTGGCCCCCTAAGAAAACCACCTGCTTCGGTCTGGGCACCTGGACAGTATCACAACCCATACACAAATATGATGAAATTTCGATATTTATGAAAAATACTTGTCTTGCTTCGATCAACAATCAAACGATTCACATTATTATTATTACTACTATTATTGTTATTATTATTTTTTTACGTCATTTATTCACTCTCTTTTATTCCCATTTTATGCATCCTTATTTTTCGACTTATACAGCAGCTCGCCTATGGTGGAAACTCGGTTCTATCTAAACTTTCTCGAGTCACTGGCTGGTTGAAAATTGTATGCTACCACCAAATACAAATACTGAAGCAGTTTTTCTGAAACCACGTGCACCATTCAAACTGGCTGCCTTCAACGTTCGCACATTTATGCAGGTCGGACAACAGATAGGGCTGGCCATGTCTTTAGAAAGTCTTAATATCGATGTCTGCTGTCTATCCGAGACCCGTATTCAAGACTCTTATGAAGTGCTACAAATTCGATCTCAATCTGTCGCTTCGAAAAGCTTGTTTTACGTGCGCTTATCCGGGGACCCTGTGGCATCTTCGTCTGGTCTCGCAGGCGTTGGTGTCGCACTAAGCGCTAGAGCTGAGGCAGCACTAGTCGATTGGATCCCCATTAACAGTCGGTTATGTGCTGTTAGATTAGAAAGTTCCATCAAAGTGAGAAGAAATCGGCGTGAGAAACGATGTCTTTTCGTCATCTCCGCCTATGCCCCGACAGATTGCAGCCCGGATGCAATCAAGTATGAATTCTACCATCAATTAACTGTTCTTCTCCAGAAAGTGCGTTCGACAGATAATGTAGTACTAGCCGGAGACTTGAATGCTCAGGTCGGGCATCTAGACACAGAAGAGAGTCGTTTAGGTGGCCGATGGAGACTTGTTGGTCGCAGGACAGATAACGGGGACCGTCTACTGCAACTGTGCACAAACAACAACCTGTTTCTGGCTAGCATAAACTATCGGCACAGTCATTGCCGATGTGCCCCGTGACGTCCTCCATCTGAATCTCAAGCCTGGACTCAGACTGATCACATCGCGATCAGCTACTGTTGGCATGGTTGTGTAAAAGACTGTCGTTCCTCTTGGAGTACCTATCTGGACTCTGATCATGCTCTGGTCTGCGCCAATCTGACCTTACTTTTCAGTGGCCAACGAAGTGACTGCCACGAAAGGATTGGTGTCAGCAAGATGGTTGCAACTAAGTATCGAACCGAGGTAGCTTCTAGGCTAGCTACCATTCCACTGAAAAGTGTAGATGAGCATTGGTTGCAACTTCATGACGCCATCAAAATGGCGAGTAATGACGCTTGTGGCTTCGTGAAACGTCCAGCTTATAGGCACTGGGTTTCTTCAGGTTCCTTACAACTCATCGAAGTCCGTCGGTCTACTCCGGGTGACCGTGAGTTTGATCACAAACGACAACTGTTACGTAATGAAATCGGGCAAAGCTTGCGTCAGGACCGAGAAACCTGATGGTCGGAGTGTGCTGATGAGCTGGAAGCAGCAGCTACATCTGGTAACCACCGGAAGCTCTTCCAACTCATCCGAGCCACTGGCAGCAAGAAGTCTGATGTTAGCGAAACAATCTGTGAGGATGATGGGATGCCAATCACTAACATCCATCGACGTCTTGGACGATGGGCAGAATTATTCGAAGGGCAGTTCAACTGGCCTGCTGCTCCGGCAACATCGATCGGACTGTCCTGCCCTCCATGGCCGGTGACGACTGATCCACCAAACGAGGAGGAAGTTCGCAAGGAACTCCAACTCTTGAAGCGCTACAAATCACCTGGCCCAGATGACTTACCTCCGGTTCTTTTTTAAAGTGGTGGCATTCTTCTGGGTAAGGAACTGACTGAGTTGTTTACAAAGGATTGGAAGTTAAAGAGTGTTCCAACATCATGGAATGAGTCGATAATCGTCCCTATCTTTAAAAAGGGTTCACGTCGTTCCTGTAACAACTATCGGGGGATTAGTCTACTTCCGATTGCGTCCAAGCTATTGGCTTCCGTCATACTTCGTAGGTTGTTCGAAACCCGAGATAGATTGACTCGCGAGGAGCAGGCTGGTTTTCGTTCTGGTCGAGGATGTATTGATCATATCTTCACCCTCCGCCAAATGTTAGAACACCGCCATACTTATCAAAGGCAAACAATCGTAGTGTTTCTTGACATCAGGGCTGTCTTCGATTCGTTGGACAGGACTGTTCTCTGGGATTGTCTATTGAAGAAGGGTGTGCCTGAGAAGTTTATTAACATCCTAAAAGCCCTATATACAAACACCTCAGGCAGAGTGAGGGCATACAACCACCTCTCTCCATTGTTCCATTCGAGCAGTGGGGTTAGGCAGGGTTGCCCAATCTCACCATTCCTCTTCAACTTTGCCATCGATGACATTCTGGAAACAGCTCTGATGAATGTAAGTAATGGTGGTGTGGATCTGTTGCCTGGAGAAAGACTTCTCGATCTTGATTATGCGGACGATATTGTCTTACTGTGTGATAATGCCCAAGGCATGCAATCCGCACTTAATCAGTTGGCAATCAGTGTCCGTAGGTATAGTATGTGCTTTGCACCTTCGAAGTGCAAAGTACTTCTACAAGACTGGCAGTTTCCTAATCCTGTACTCACCCTGGATGGTGAGCAGATAGACGCAGTCGAGAAGTTCGTGTATCTGGATAGCTGCATAAGTGCTGGTGGGGGTGTGAGTGATGAGATTAATGCACGTATAGTGAAAGTCAGAGCGGCTTATGCCAATCTGGGCCATCTTTGGCGCCTTCGTGATGTTAGTCTGGCTGTAAAAGGTCGGATCTACAACGCGTCGGTGAGAGCAGTTTTGCTCTATGCTTGTGAAACCTGGCCTCTCCGAGTTGAGGATGTTAGACGACTCTCTGTGTCTGATCATCGTTGTCTCCGAAAGATTGCTGACATCCAGTGGCAACACCATGTCAGTAATGCAGAGGTTCGGCATCGTGTGTTCGGGCACAGAGATGATAACTCAATTGGTGTCACCATCTTAAAACACCGACTTCGGTGGCTTGGACATGTTCTGCGAATGTCGTCTCAGAGAATTCCACGTCGTGCACTATTTGCCGACTCTGGAACTGGTTGGAGAAAGCGTAGAGGTGGTCAGTATATGACATGGTTTCGGGGTGTGAAAGAAAGCTGCAAAGGGCTGGCTTGTGTTGGTCCTTCACGACTCCGTGGCTGGAGTCCGAGAGATGGTGCTACATAGCGGCTAGAGACGTTATCAGATATGGCTCAGACTAGAAGCCAGTGGCGATCCTGCTGTAACCTTCTTTTACTTTCTTCGTAAAAAGTGGTTGTATCTTACTTAACTGAAAGATCTCTTCTGATTGTACGTTTCTGTTCCCCCCATTATTATTATTACACTACCCTACACTAATCTGTTCGTTATTGTTCTTTTTTCATTCTTCTCACCTTTTTTTCTTTCTTCTCTTTAAATTCTCATTGTTTTGTGTGGTGCATATATATTTGGTGCCCTCTTGTACGAATATTTATGTGTTCAAATAAAAATAAAAATAATAATAATAGTGTGTGCCTTAACTGTTTTAAACATTAACATTCACTATGTGCATTAAAATTAGGGTCATCGTTAAATAATATAATATATTGGAGAGAGGCGTTTAGTTTGAAGGAGCCCATCCATTCCATGTACAAACATAAATACAGATGAAGACAACTAGTGTAGCAACAGTCTCTGCATCAGTACGGCTCAATGTACACAACGGAAAAACCAAGATCCTTCAATACAACACCGAGAACACCAACCCAACCACACTTGGTGGAAATGCTCTGAAAGAGATTAAACGTTTCACGTATCTGTGTAGCACCATCGATGAACGTGGGGGATCTGATGCAGACGTAAAGACGAGGATCGGTAAAGCAAGGACCGCATTCCTACAGTTGAATAACTCAAAACTCAACCAATATTAAAGTGAGAATTTTCAATTCGGACGTCAAGACAGCTCTACTACATGGAGTTGAAACTTCAAGAACTGCAACCATAATTAAAGTGGTACAAGTATTTAAAAAACAACTGTCTACTCAAGATACTCAATGTCGGTTTGCCGGATACCATCATCAACAGTCTACTGTGGGAGAGATCAAATCAGCTGCTATCTTAAGGGGAAATTAGGAAAAGACGCTGGAAGTGGATAGGACATAGATTGCGGAAATCTTCAAACTGCATCATGAGGCAAGCGCTAACTTGGAATCCTGACGCGAAACGAAAAAGGGGAAGGTCAAAGAACACACTGCGTTGAGAATTGGAGGCAGACATTAGAAGGATGAATCTCAACTGGAAAAGACTGACCACCAGGACAGGGTTGGATGGAGAATGCTGGTGAGCGGTTTGTGCTCCTCCGTGAAGGGTAATAGGAGTAAGTAATTAAGTATTTGGTCAGATATCCTATCATTCAATTTCGCCTAACAATACAGTTAATAAAATTATTCACGGCTGAGAGCATACTTCAAACCCACCACTATTGATTATCTTCGTTAATAGCAGTATAAACCTATCCAATTAGAGGTAATATTTGCGATATCGTTAGCATATGACTTTATCTTAAATTAATCCATCGTTTTGGTATAATTTTGCATGAACCTAAACTTAGTTACTTCCTCGTTTTTTATGTATAAATTATTACCCATATTCTTATTTTGTTTAAAGATTATGGTTGGTGCAAAAAAAGAATTATCAAGTTTATGGAGTTGGTTGTGTACGTTGAATACGGTTACATTAAAATTCATCAGCCAATTTGTAGTCTGTACCTATCAAAGTGAAAATCATATGCAATCAATTGGTTTGTGTAATCGCGAAAAATCCTCATTAATTTCATTTGATGAAATACCTGTAATTCAAAGAAGTTCTCTTACGTTATATACATTAGAAAGTGTCATCACATGTTTACCTCGTCCATTATCTGTGAATTTAGTAATGTAAGTGAATAAAATTTAATTTAATTAAGTTTGAATAATTTATGTGTATGTGTTTCTGTAGAATTCTCAAATATTTCTCAATTGATTTACCTTGGTGATAAAAACCTCTTGATTGAAATAATTGGTGCTAAAGTCTTCAACTCAAAGGTTGACACTGAAGTTGTTGTGGTGTGAGCTACTTATATCTACATAAGTAGTATATAACGACAGTCAGGAATAAGATGTATTTCAGTAGAAAATCGAGAGGGAAGAACGGGAACGGAGAGCAATTTGTACGAAAATGCAGGAACAATGAAATTTGAGACGATGAACCGATATTTGCAAAAGAAATGGTCAAGTTTGAGATAATGGATTGATATTTTGAAACTAAGTATTTACTGTATGGTTCTCAGATTTTAGTGAGATATTTTGTAATTTTGTGTTAAAATACATTCGGTTATTCCGACTCGTGTTCTTGTTCACTACATTGTCACATTATCACAGAATAATTAATTTAGACAATCTTCAAATAAATATTGCTTAATTATTTCTTGATCGGTAGAGTGAAATTCTAACCTACTTACTACACAGTATTTGCTATTAAACAATTATAATTAAACCGCTTACACATCTTGTTGCTTACCTTTTCTCACTTTAATTGAATTACAGATAAATTTTCGGAATATAATAAAATATATTGGTATTTACTTCCTAGTTGCAATATTTTACTAAAGCTATGTGAAGAAAGTAAACGGAATCATTAAAAGATTGGTAAAAATAAAGCTGTGGTTATGATAATGTTTGGGTTATTGGTCTGCAATAAGTTTTAATTACGAACGATTGAGATCCTCTTTGGTGTGAACGGGATCCAATGTGAACTAAATGGATCGAGTGGATGACACAACATTTCGAAAATTGTTCTTAACACAATGGTCAGTATAAAAATATGAATTAGAAAAAGTATTCTCGTTACAGAAAACATCTAACATTTATTAACAAAAACTAGATAACATACAGTCTTCCTAACAAATTAATAAATAATAAAGAATAGTTATAATTTATCATCACTAGCATAAACATGTATTTAAACGTAGGTTACTTATACCGTACATTATATTTTAAGTGTTTTTGTCAGTTTATATTTAACTGATTATTGTTTTTATTACATTTTTTTCGCCAATCCTTAATTAGGCATCCATCATGGGAACAACTTATTCATAAAATGCATCTGTCTACTGAATTGTGCAAGATACTCAATGAATCTGTTCTAAATAAACAGGATAACCTTTCACGGAAGGGGTAAAGGATAGAAAATAAACAAAAAGTCAATTTATTGCAATCATTTCTGTCTAGTCAATTTGATTTTTTTTACTGCTTATTAGTTTCATTTATAACAAATACAGATATAATTCATTATTATCAATAGATTATTGAATTAGTTTCGTCAATCCACTAAAAAGAGAATAATTATAATTTATACTTTATTTAAATATCATCTCAAAATATTTATTGTATACATAGGTATATATCTTTTAATCTCTCATTGTTACTCTTCATATTGTACTCACAATCATTATGTATGTACAAAGAAAATGCATATATATATATATATATATATATATATATATACATCGGTGTTGGAGATTCTCTTTAATGCTTTTTATTTTAAATGTACACTTACCTTTTTGGCTCATTGTTAATTTTGCAGGTTTTTTTATATTTTTGGATGTATTTTGTGTATATGTTACGTAATTAAGTTATTTATCTGTGCAATTTACTTTCTTAGTTATTGTGTTGTAGATTATTACTTAATTTATGTATCTTTCAACTAATGAGCTATATGTATGTAATCTATCCCAAATTTAAAGATCTTGGAAAGTTTTAACATCAAAATTTCTGCCAACTAGTGACATATTGAAATATACACATTTAAAAAAAGATAACTTACATTATTCAAATACACTAAGAAATACTATGATAATTATTTATTTCAGTGACAAATAGGTACCTGCACAAGACTTCACTATAATATAATTGGTTGGTCGATACTTTGAAATATTAACCGTTGATTAAGTTCTGTCTGAGTTCATAATCACTTCACTTCTATCAGATGAATTAGTTGGTTTGTAGGTATGTACAAATACTAAACAGATCTGACATTTTGACAGGTTTTGCTTTCTTTTACGAAATTTCAAAAATATATTATTATTTAAACAAACTTAGAATTTGTAAGCTGGCTTGTGTAAACATTTAACTAGGGACATATTATAAAATTTAATCTTTTAAGAATCATTGTTTATTTCTTTTCTCGATTAGTTAATGTTAGATATCCACTTTAAAGCAAAGTGAATAATTAAGAGATTCAAACACATTGAGTGAACTTTAATTCGTTATATCGTAGCAGCTTCGCAAATAACTTTTAATGATTAAAGAAATATGAAGAAAGTGACAACTTTTGTAACTCTCTTACTGATTATTGATTTATATACATTTACTAAACAACTAGACTATTGTTTTTCCATGTTCCTTGTATTATAGGCATCTATTAGACTCATTAACTGTTGCCATACATCTAACTATTTTTTAATTATTGCTTAGCAATTATTCACTTTTTTTCCATTTTATATCATTTCTGGTTTGATTATGCATAAATTACGGCTTTCTGTTTGGGGTTCGATATTTCATGCACATAATTTAAGTGCTTAACGTTTGGTTGCTGCTACATTGTTTTGTTGAACTCAGTATTAGAGTAGAAAGAGAATGTAGATCCGGGTCAATTGATGTTTAGAATAACCGGTGACTGCTTAAGGTTAATCGTTATCAATAGAAGCGTGTAATTATTTAAGACTTAGGATGATTCATGTACGAATCAAGTATTCTTGGAGTAGATAATTATCAAGATTATGATTGGTGAATCTTCTCTAGTGATCGGTCTAGGTGGATGTAAGAAAATACATGGATTTTAAGAAATCAAACATAGCGTCCACTCCAAAGTCACCTACATACTTCGAGAGTATTTATTCATACAGTAACCGGTCTCTTTCGTCAATAATTTCTAAAACAATAGACCATTAATATTTAAAATTTTGAATCCTAATCTCTTATATGAATGAATGAATTCACTTTATCTGAATTGTAGCGTTAATACTTTATTTGATTTCGTTTTTGCGTGATACAAATAGTAGCCAAATGGAGTACACACATTGTTCCTTTCTATATTTTTAGGCGTTACCTTATTTATCATCTACTTTATATTGTCTTTTAGTTGGTATTATTGTTTCATTCACCTGGAAAGATTCTCCAGTTATTTCAGGTTAGACAGTCCTGAAATTGTATATATGGATATTAAAATGTATGTGACCTTAATTTCGATTTAGTAAACAAACTGAGGAAATAAATATAGATTCTTAACTCTTCTACAAAAGGTTGATAATCATTATTAATATTGGTGCTCTTATAATTTCTCTTATTACGACCCAGCTAATTCTATTGCATTGTTTGACACCAATTCATTCGACAAGTCCCCAAATCAGAATACGGTTGAACAGGAACGAATCATATTTCACATAACAATGGTAAATGGAGGAAAGAAGCACAATAAGAAACGTTAGTATATTTATAGTTTGGTTGGCTAGTATGTGTTCGTTTTAGATTTCTCTATCTATGATCGTGTGAATAAAAATAGGTGTAAGTAGTTTAGTGACAAGTTTGAACTTTGCCGTTTAAACACAACATCTATTTCGTTGATGAGGTTAGAGTGGGTAAAAAAAATTACTCCTTGTATGTTCTTTTATCAGTAACAATTTAAACAGCTCACTTTTTAACTGTATCAATAATCATGCTTAACTGGGCAAGTGATTAAATATTATTTCTTGCCATACACAATATTGACCAATATTATTGGCAAATATTGTTGAACTAATTGTAAGTAGTATAATCGTTCTAATGTAATGTCATGATCGATTTCAGGAACATAATGAAGCAGTTGAACTTTAGTGATGTCTTGAATTACCGATACATACTTAGTTAACATGAGAATATCTGGGTGAATTTAACAGCCTTTGACTTTTATTGATAATCAATTGTTACGAACTATTTTATTCTGAACGTAATGCAAATAAACACCATATAAATTCTATTTCATGGTTAACTAGTAAGGGATTTATTCAAACTGTTTGGCAACTGTAACCACTTATAGCATACTTATCTGAGAATGTTAGTATCTCGATGGTACGTATAACATATTTCTTTTATTTGATGCATAAAGAATTCAGCAAAGTGAAGAGGGAAAGTTGACCTCCACCTTGATCTACTTCGAGGCATAAACATTCGACTCAGATTACGTAGCAAATTCCTTTCACATTTTATATATAATGACCACTCATAACTTTTACCGCATAAACGGAAGCTACAATTGGTCAAGACAAGTCAAAAAGTTATCTACATAGCATCGCTTATCACAATACTAAATCTCAAACTTCCATTTCTGTATTTCAAATAAAATTTCAAAATTTAACCACTGTGCAAGAAAAATTACAGTAAAATCAAGATACTGTACAGTATGGGAATCATGACTGGAAAATGTGAATTTTTACTCCACATAAGTATATGAAACAGGTGGTATTAATTGAACGCTCTGTTGACACAAATCAGGTGATATACACAGCTTTTTAGAAGATATTTTATAATCATCCTTTAGAATTCCAGCAGCAAAGTCTGCATCTTCCTGTGAAAAAAATGGGACCAAAAAACGTGTCAATATTTATTTATGAAAAAGGATCATCATATGAACAATAAATTTTGGTTGTGAGGCTGTTTTATGATATAATATATGAGATAAATATAGGTTCAGGAGAAATTTAGGATTCACTGGCTTTGATTGAGGCCAACCAACGTATGTTAAGAAATTATAAACAAACTTCACCGACTGATCATAGGAAACCATTGAGAATCATAAAGAATTAAGACGGCTCTTTCGTCGTACTACGGTGACGTCTTGGGAGTATAAACCAACAGCCCCACCGACAACCGAACCCAAGACATTACAGAGAGCGTCTAACCGTTTACACTCCTAACCCTAACTGATTCTCTGATCATGCGACCCTCATCCATTCCCATAAGTAATATTCTTTGTATCGTAGATGGGCTCTGTTGAGAAGTCTCACACTAAGACAAATCGGCTGTTCAGTGGTACCTAGTTTTTAAGTTTTGTCTAACTAAGATTGTTTCGTGATGCAAAACAAGGAAATTCAACAATCGGTACAACCCCATATACTTGGAAAATAGTTAAAATACTGCTTTAAATTAACAATACTACGCGTGAATATATTTACTTTCGTTACTAATAAATAATATACCCTAAAAGTAAAACCATATTCTAACCCATCTTTGTGATGTTTGGAATTTTTTATACAGTTGACCTGACTGACTGGTGTAGAACTCGATAAGTATCTGTGCGAGTCATCCTACTTAAAAGAAGCTTGGCGGATAACATGTGAATAAAAAGTAGGGGTAGGGAAAGCGGATTTATGGAAGTGCGTCAGTAGGAGATAACTTCTGCTCTTCACACTATGATGTTAGAAAATACATACATATATTGTCACCGAAGACTGACATTTTAAACATCATATTTAGTTAACGTATACAACTTCACGAAACGATCTGTTTGTGTTACTTAAAGCTTCATTTACAACCCTGTAATTAATCCTCGGTTAGTAACAGCGCTACCGAACATCTGAAACTTCATCTGATCTACTAATAATGCCTATGTTTTGTAGCAGATGTGCGGCTGAACACTAATATTCTCTTGACAATTGCCAAAATGGTTCTATAAATATGTTAATTAAAGTGGTTTATTAAGTAAAAACTACTGTTTTAAAATTTGTGATACCTGTTTAATTTCATACACATAGTTCCCTTTATCATTTTGAAAAGAGCAAGAACAAAGATTTTAGCAGAATAGCATGAATTCATTTTATTTCGTAGGTTCTCGTCAGCTGCTTACAACCTGTGATATTTAAAAATCATAATTGCATAATGGATTTAAATTGCTTACAGAATATTGTAAATATATACCTAATGTGAAAGAATATTCTACAACATTAATTGTGACAACAGTTCAAAAATGGGTTAGAAACAATTGATTACATAATGAATAAACATTGATAGGAATATAGTGATTAGAGTTCAGTTGAAAGATTATTAATTTGAAAGATAGTTGAAAAAATAAATTAGAATCAATGATGTAATAAATGCAACAGAAAAAAGAGGAAAAAAAGAAAAAAAATTTTAAGGTTCAGTGAA